ATCCACACACACACACACACAACGACCACGACTTCGCATCTAAGCCACTCTTTGATCTCTCTTAGGACCGAAGCTCACTCAGTGTTTTTTTGTTGTTGTTAAACGTCCGGACACAAAACCCTCTGCCCATCATGGGGGTGGTGGAGGAGGAGGGGGGGTGTGGCAGGGCTGACAGGCGTGCGCGTTCGCGTCGCGCGCACGCACGCGCACGCAGGCGCGCGACGCGGAGAGGGGCACACTCAAGGCCCTGACACCCGAAGCTTTGCTTAGAAAATGCAGGGGTCGTGTCAGGGGCAGTGAAGGGTCACAGAGGCAGGAAAAAATAAATCTATCTGGATAAAGACGGCCACAGAGACCCCCCACGCCCCCCCCCCACCACCAAGCCCCATGGGAGGATGCCCCTCAGCCAGAACCCCGCTTCCACGATTGTACAAATGTCAGAATCAATATGTTTACTTAGAGTGCAAGAGGAATCCGATGAGCTATGAAGCGCTTTTGCACAGATGCCCAGTATTGGGGTCAGCGACTTACAGCGTCAAACGATGCAACAAAAGCCGATATTTTCAAAGATAGTTGTCGTATCGCTGTAGCGCGGCGTCATGTATGCCAGCATCATCTGTCACCGCTTGTCATCAATACTCTTGGCTGTAAATCAACGTTAGTTCGTTTCACTCTCCACAAACGGCCTTTGACCAAATCACCAGAAAGCGCCGCCGCATCCCGTCAGACCTCGCAAACTACGAAGGCGTCGAGCTTGGATAGCGGTGCTCTGTCCGGGCCGTCTCCCAGGGGCTTTCATTTTAAACTGGTCTGTCCGGGTCAGAGACCCGGCAAACATGGATCTCACCCGGCACGGCACATCTCCCGGGTACACAGTCGACCCTTCTGCACCGCGACTTTCCCCATCGCGGTTTCGAGATATCACGGGGTCGGCAGAGGAAATTAAATTGGAATTTTTGGGGAGTATTTGGGAGTTTTGCTGAAAGCAGCAGACGACACACAAAAAGTTTAGTCACTCAATAAATGCATAAAATATATGTACAGTACTGTATAATATTAATGTACAGTGTTTTATCTTTTAATACCGTAAATATACACTTTTTTGTAAAGTTACATTTTGTAAAAAAAGTTCGTTTGCGAAAAGAACTGTGTGTTCTAGGCGCTGGTTTGCAGGACGCCAAGCGTGTTCACGGCAGCCTCTCACGGGATATCTCGCAGCGATCTCGCAGTGAGCTTTGTCTCTCGCATTTCTCGTTTCTTTTTGTGCCGTTTTAGTGCCCTAAACTATACTAACAAAACATTTTACGCGGTTTTTCCAGGGCATACGCCCCTAACCCCGCGATGTGTAAGGGTCGACTGTCGTTCTCTCACCGTGGCTTGAGGTCACTCGTCACGTGCCATGTCAACTCCTCCAATCTTCCAGCCAACACAGAAACTTATTCGGTGAGAGGGTAACCTCTGGATGGCCACCGTGCGTGTAACAGGTGGTATAGGTTGCGGCTGCTGCTCGGGGCTGTAACTACGATGTGGGCAGCAGTGTGGATCAACCCATTGTTGTACTGTACTTCCACGCTCCTACATATATGCACTGGGCATTCATCAATTCTCACCGAGCATGGCGAAATATGGTCAAAGAACCCGCAGTGCCAGCGTGGTGTGGGGTACACGCTCACCACCCCACACTCACCACCCCACACTCACCACCCCACACTCATCACCCAACACTCACCACCCCACACTCACCACCCCACACTCACCACCCCACACTCACTACGCCAGACTCACCACCCCACACTCACCACCCCACACTCATCACCCAACACTCACCACCCCACCCCACACTCACCACCCCACATTCACCACCCCACACTCACCACCCCACACTCATCACCCAACACTCACCACCCCACACTCACCACCCCACACTCACCACCCCACACTCACCACCCCACACTCACCACCCCACACTCACTACGCCAGACTCACCACCCCACACTCACCACCCCACACTCATCACCCAACACTCACCACCCCACCCCACACTCACCACCCCACATTCACCACCCCACATTCACCACCCCACACTCACCACCCCACACTCACCACCCCACATTCACCACCCCACACTCACCACCCCACACTCACTACGCCAGACTCACCACCCCACACTCACCACCCCACACTCACCACCCCACCTCACACTCACCACCCCACACTCACCACCCCACACTCACCACCCCATACAAACCTCACAACCCCACCCCATACAAACCTCACAACCCCACCCCACACTCATCACCCCATACAAACCTCACCACCCCACACTCCCCACCCCATACAAACCTCACAACCCCACCCCACACTCACCACCCCACACTCACCACCCGACCCCACACTCACCACCCCATACAAACCTCACAACCCCACCCCACACTCACCATCCCATACAAACCTCACAACCACACCCCACACTCCCCACCCCATACAAACCTCACAACCCCACCCCACACTCACCACCCCACCCTCACCAACTTCCCCCTTGCTCACCACCCCACTCCTCCCTCACCACCCCACCTCACCCTCCTCACCACACCCTCACCCTGACCACCCCACCACCCACCCTCCTCACTCGAGCGCGCACAGACGGCCAGACAAAGCGCGTGCACGGCGACAAATCTTCCACGCGGCGGATGGAACTGATCAACAAAAACCGCTTTTGTTGAAGCGCTCCGACATGCACTGGGATCTCGCTCAGGACGTCAACGTTGATTAATCTCATACTTACTTCTGGCAGCAGCAGGTGAATAGGCTGAGGAATGCCGGCCCGAGTGAGAGAGAGAGCGGAGAAGGATGATGTGTGTGTGTGAGTGTGTGTGTGTTTGAGAGTGTGTGTGTGTGAGTGTGTGTGAGAGTGTGTGTGAGTGTGTGTGAGAGTGTGTGTGTGAGAGTGTATGTGTGAGAGTGTGTGTGAGAGAGAGAGAGAGAGTGTGTGTGTGAGTGTGTGTGTGTTTGAGAGTGTGTGTGTGTGAGTGTGTGTGAGAGTGTGTGTGAGTGGTGTGAGAGTGTGTGTGTGAGAGTGTATGTGTGAGAGTGTGTGTGAGAGAGAGAGAGAGTGTGTGTGTGAGTGTGTGTGTGTTTGAGAGTGTGTGTGTGTGAGTGTGTGTGAGAGTGTGTGTGAGTGTGTGTGAGAGTGTGTGTGTGAGAGTGTATGTGTGAGAGTGTGTGTGAGAGAGAGAGAGAGAGTGTGTGTGTGAGTGTGTGTGTGTTTGAGAGTGTGTGTGTGTGAGTGTGTGTGAGAGTGTGTGTGAGTGTGTGTGAGAGTGTGTGTGTGAGAGTGTATGTGTGAGAGTGTGTGTGAGAGAGAGAGAGAGAGTGTGTGTGTGAGTGTGTGTGTGTTTGAGAGTGTGTGTGTGTGAGTGTGTGTGAGAGTGTGTGTGAGTGTGTGTGAGAGTGTGTGTGTGAGAGTGTATGTGTGAGAGTGTGTGTGAGAGAGAGAGAGAGTGTGTGTGTGAGTGTGTGAGTGTGTCAGAGAGAGTGTGTATGTGTGCGAGAGTGTGTGTGTGTGAGAGTATGTGTGTGTGAGTGTGTGTGTGTGCGAATGTGAGAGAGAGAGAGAGTGTGTGTGTGAGAGTGTGTGAGTGTGTATGAGAGTGTGTGTGTGTGCGAGTGTGAGAGTGTGTGTGTGAGAGAGAGTGTGTGTGTGAGAGTGTGTGTTTGAGTGTGTGTGTACGATTGTGAGAGAGAGAGAGTGTGTGTGTGTGAGAGAGAGTGTGTGTGTGAGTGTGTGTGTGAGAGTGTGAGAGAGAGAGTGTGTGTGTGAGTGTGTGTGTGAGAGTGTGTGAGAGTGTGTATGTGTGTGTGCAAGAGAGTGTGTGAGAGAGAGTGTGTGTGTATGTGTGCGAGAGTGTGTGTGTGAGAGTGTGTGTGTGTGAGTGCGTGAGTGTGTGAGAGAGAGTGTGTATGTATGTGTGCGAGAGTGTGTGTGTGAGAGTGTGTGTGTGAGAGTGTGTGTGTGAGTGTGAGAGAGAGTGTGTGTGTGTAGCGCGCTGCTGTTAATGAGTGTGTCACGCAGTGTGTTGGGGGGAGGAGCGGTAATGTAGTGGTCAGCGGTCAGCGCGCTGCGCTACGAACCCGGCGACCTTAGTTCGATTCCCGCTCACGGCCATCACCAGTGACGATTATCTGAGCCGGTCCTGGGCCTCCCCTAGGTCGACTCAGTCTCAATTGAGGACCTAGTGCGGTGTGTAACCATCGCCGTCAGGGAGACAAAGGCGGTCCTGGCCACCCACCCCCTCGTGTGCCGTTCTGGCTTTCACAGGTGCTCACAAACAGCACTTGCCCCAACAGTCTGTTAAGTCTATACGGGGGATGTTCTTCACTTGTCTTTTTGTGTTTGTGGTGAATTTGAATGCTCCTGCACGACAACCCAGAGGGCTTGAGTTCCATTCCCGGTCGCATCCAATACAAAGTGGCACCATGGGGTAGACGAACCTGTCCCGTGCCTCCCATTAGTCTTACTTAGGGGCCGTCCATAAATGACGTCACGCACCTGGGGGGGTGTCAGATATTTGTGACGATGTGTGACGTCACATCAAAATGCGCAACTTTAAATAAATATATAATTGTTATAACAACACTAACAACTCTCCTACAACATCAGAGTGCAGCGCCACATTAAATACGATTTGAAGCATGTTTTATTTTCAAAATGGAAATATGGTTTTGTGGGGGGGGGGGGGGGCAGAGCTTTGTGACGTCATATTTGTGACGAGGGAGGGGGGGGTAAAAAAATCGTCCAAAATCGCGTGACGTCATTTATGGACGGCCCCATAGCACCTGTTGCGTTGTGGAGGAGAGTGCGTGGAGGAGAAGTAGAGTGGGGTGAGAGGTAGGAGAATACGTGGAGGTGAGTCCGTTGGACGAGCGGGGAGAGGTCGGTCCCCTCGGGGTTCCCTCCTCTGTCCCTCGGTCACCTCGTCCATTCCCCCTCTCCCTCTCAGCTGGAGCCAGAACTCCCGGGCTCCCTGAGCGAGGAGGCGCTGCGTGCGCTGCTGCAGACGCGCGGGGAGGAACTGGGTCCCGCGGGGCGCGAGGCTCTGAGCGCACTGCTGCATCGAGAGGAGCACGGGGCCGTCTCCTATCGGCTCTTCGTGGAGGCGGTGAGGGCATCACCGCACCGTCCCACCCCCTCCCCTCCTCCTCCTCCCTCCCCCGTGACTAACGCATTCACGAAGCCGCACCAAGGCTAAATGTATCACTGAATATTTGCAGCGTCGCTGGCAGGACCGGAGCAAGGCGGCACGTGGCTTGGCGAATAGCCACAGATAAATCGAGATGTGTACTGGATGTGATGTGCCGGGAAATGTATTTTTCTTCCGAGACCCAGCTGAAATCAAGATCTTAGCCGACTGTTGGCCCACAGTTTACCCCACCACACTTTGCCACACCGCACGCAATCCGTCCATCATACGTGACTTGACCGAAAAAAACAAAGAGTATGAATTCCTACAGCCACGAAAGCTTCAAATCAAGAGCTTTCTGAATACGCGTAACACGTCATTTCTAGACACCACGTGGCAATGAAACGCTCACCCAAGCGCTCGTCTGCATGTATACTGGATGTGATGTGACCCCGCGCAGCTCAGCAACAAGCGGCGAGCGAGCTTCAGGTGCGCGGTGTCGCAAGGCCTGCGGTCGGACGTGTTAGAAGGGGGCATCGCGGGGAGCAGCGTTGGCGTTGTGGGGGGCTCGGCCGGAGTGGGGGACCGCTGTCTGCTGAGCGTGGCGCGAGAGACGCTGCCCCGTGACTCGGAGCGCCGCTGGTTCCTGCACATGTACTCGGGGTGCCCGCCCCCCCTTCTCATGCCGAGCATCTCTCTCGCGCAGGTGAAAGGGGGTTCCACCTCGGGGGGCATTGACGTACGAAGGTCGTGCGATGCCGTTGGCGTGAATGACGCTGTATGCAATGAAAGTATTATTATTATTAAGGTTCGGATGTCAAGTGCCACTGATTTTAGCCGTAGCCAGGAATTAAAACGACTATTTTTTTTATTTTACCACGTAAGGCCCACTTAGCTATACAGCTCTTTGTCAGAAGCGACCTGGGCACAAATGATAGCCCAAAGAAGGGGGGCTTATCGTGTGGAAATTTACAGCAGGCGTCAGGGGCGATGAACGGACCCACGGACTCATGTATACCAGGCGAGGTGGTTAACATGTCCTTGCCACTGCGACGCCCGAATTAAATTCAGCTCGCCAGGTTCTTATCAGTGGCAAGACCACTGCGCCACCATTCCATCCTCGTGGCCTATATATGATACAGTACATATAGAGCCAAATTTATATCTACTTGACCATGCGTGTGCCTTGTGCGCTGTATAAAGCTAAGCACCAGATAGACAAAGGCGGATGGGCGTGGTATTGGGCGCATCACAACGCACGTGCGCCGTGCCAGCCTTAAAAGGTGCTCACTAACAGTGCCCTGCCCCAACAATCTGTTAAAGACTCTACGGGGTTGGGGGGGGGGTGTTGGGGAATCTTTGGCCACAGGTCGTTGTGTTTGTGCTGTACGGGCTGACGCTGGGCACGTGGCTTCTGCCCACTTACGACGCCGACTTCATGAATGGGTCGCTTCTCTACTCCCCCACGACGCGCCACGAGGCGTGGAGGTTCATCAGCTACGCGCTCACGCACGCCGGGTAAACTCACACGTCGCTCTCCCCCATCTCTCCACGCGTCGCTCTCTGTCTCTCTCTCTCTCATTGGCCAGGGTGGCGCGGTTGTATTACGCTTGATCTAAGGCAAAGCAGTTCTGTGTATTTAAGTCTGTCTTGAGATCTCACCTTTTAAACATTGGCTTTCACCCACAGCCATAGTTCTGGCCGTTTACCCTGCAGGTTCTGTTTATTTCCCGAATTGGGGATCTATGGATGGAATGCGCTTGGCAATACGTGGATGCCAATTCGGCGATAATTGTCTGGGTTCGAGTCCCGACTCAGGTGCCTTTATGTGTGAAGTGTTTATGCCTCCCCCACCCCCCCCCCCGTTCTGCGTGGGTATCCTCTGGGACCTTCGGTTTCCTGCCATAGCAAAACAAACAACAACAACCCACTTTACACAATGTAACTGGTGTTGGCCAAAACCCCACCACTGCAGAAGACTTTGCAGGACCCTCCTAAAAACGAGTTAAGACTCAGCGAGGCTTTTCTGGGTAAACAAGCGTAGTAATACTACTAGTATAAACTCCCGTTGTCACTCCCTCGTCTATCTCCGCGTGTCTCCCTCTCTCGAAGGATATTTGTCTGTGTGTATATTTGTGAGTATATGTGTGTGTGTCTACGTGCGCGCACGTGTCAATATCTATTTGTGTCCGCAGTGTTTTATGTCTGCGTGTGTCCATGTGCATGTATGTGTCCGTGCTACAAACCCGACAACCCTCGTTCGATTCCTGCCCAAGACCAACATTAGTGACGATTATCTGAACCGGTTTTGGGTTTCCCCTAGGCTGACTCAGACTCAAAAACGAGTACCTGGTGCGGTGTGTAAATATCAGCACTAGGGAGACAAAGGTGACCTGCGCGTGGCACTGGCCACCTAGCCCTTTGTGTGCCGTGTTGGTGTTAACAAGCGTTCACTGACGGCACTTTTCTCCACAAGGGGGTTCTTTGTATTCTTAGGTTGTTTCGGTAAAGTCACGTAGCTATCGTGCTGTGACGGTCCCACCTGAAGACGGAAGCTTGTGTTGCCTCTGAAACGTCGTGATTTTTTTTTTATTTTACTTTTTTACCTACGTGACTTTACCGAAAAAACCTAAGAATATGAATCCTTGCAGTCACGAAAGCTTCAAATCTAGAATTGGGGTTCTTTATCTTTGTGTACATCCATCCATAGCTAAGTGTGTTGTCTATGTAACCGTGTGTCTCTGTGCGAGACAGCGCAGAGCAGTTGGGACTGGCCCTCCTGGCCCAGCTGAGCGTGGGGCTGCCTCTGGAGATGGCCCATGGCTCTCTGCGGATAGGGGCGGTTTACATGGCCGGTGTTCTAGCAGGTACCCTGGGACTCGCGTGCTCCCATCTCACAGCCACTACCTCGACACTCACACCTGAGTCGCCTCTCTAAATGTATGCACTTTTTTACCCGTGGCACATCGCGGGAAAGGGGAGTAGAGGGTGGAAAAAGAAAATGGAACGGTAAAGGGAAGAGAGAAAAGGATGAGAAATGAGGGGGAGTAGGATGGAACAGTAATGGAGAAACGGGAGCAAAGGGTCAGGAGAGGTGAGGATGAGGGAGGAATGGGCTGCATGAGGAGCTCGGTGCTGCTGCACGGAGCAGCATCTGTTTTCATAGGGGGCGGGGAGAGGGGCCGGATTCAGATAGGGGGGTGGCCACACAGGCGTCACGTGTTTTACAGGAGGCTTGAGCTGATTCCGATACATAGATGTACGTTCACCGCAACGTTTAAATAAAAAATAAACTTGGATCGAACCGGGATCATGAAGAGTAATCGAATCATCGTGCCGGTTGAATCACTTCACCACCAGAGAAAACGTCAACGGTCAAAATATCTCGCATCGTGTGCACGATGGCAACACGTACGTTCATCGTCAATGAACATTTACACAATGGACAACGAATTAGCAGGTGATCGCAATTTAACATTCAGAAATAAGTTTTTAAATTAAGAATAAAGAGCTGATAGTATGGAGAGCAACAAGATCAGAATCAGAAGTTGTATTTCCCAAAAAAAGATCGTCAAGCCGAGAAGCTATTTTTCAAGGGATGACTCGTCAGCTAGTGTGCAGCAGCGAGATGTTATCTCCCTCGCCTGGCACGCAGGAAGTCGTGGGTTCGACCCTGACGCCTGTATATTTGGAGTTTGCATGTTCTACCCGTGGTCATGTGGATTTAGAAACATGCGTTTAAAGTATTTGGCTGCTATACATTTCCACGTGATAAGCCACTTCGTTGAGCTATCATTTGTGACCAGGTCACTTCTGAAAAAGAGTTACAGTATACAGCTCAGTGAGCCTTATCTGGAAAAATAAAAGTTTAGTTTAATAGTTCTGCGTGCAGCAGCGAGATGGATTGTGGCATCGCAAAGCCTACAAGGGTGGGCGACGGCCCATGTGCGATTGGTAGCTGAGATATTGATGAAGAAACAAGAATGCAGAGTTCATTGTAAGATTATATAATTCTATTCTTAAGTTTTTTCGGTAAAGTCACGTAGGTAAAATTTTTAAATTAAAATTAATAAAAATAAAATAAAAATCACGACGTTTCGGAGGTAACACAAGCTTCCGTCTTCAGGTGGAACCGTCACAGCACGATAGCTGTATCAAGTAAGAGAAATTCCAAGAAAACAGTCCTTGTATATATACTGGTTGAGGGTGGGAGGAGCCAAGGTAGGCCCTGGATATTATTATTGTGAGGTTCGGTGCGGCTGAAGCACGCTGTTAGGAATGAGCCTTTATTGTGTAGACTGGTTGAACTCGGAGGTTCCAAGAGTTGTTAAGGTGCGGCTGATGTAAAGGTGCGTGTAAATGGAACTGAGCCTTTTGTTATGTAGAGGTGGTGCGGCTGAAACCGCTGCTAGGAATGAGTCTTTGTTGTGTAGACTGGTTGATTCTAGATTTGAAGCTTTCGTGACTGCAAATATTCATACTCTTAGGTTTTTTCGGTAAAGTCACCACATTCAGATAAGCCCCTCCCCCCTCCCCCTTAACTTGTATTTAAGAGCTTGTCTCTTGGATTTTTCCTCACTTGATACAGTAAATTTAGCTGTGACGGTCCCACCTGATGACGGAGACTTGTGTTGCCTCCGAAACGTCGTGATTTATCATTTTATTTCTATTATTATTTCTATTGTTTTAATTTTTACTTTTTTACCTACGTGACTTTACCAAAAAAACCTAAGGGTAAGATTATATAACTTGATTTCCGGTACGATGCATTTCAGCTGTGGAAGAGGGTCGAGTTCAAAAGCAATTACATTCGCAAAGACCGAGCAAACAATCACATCTCCTCTAAATGCCTCTTTAACTCCAACGCCAACGCAGCCTGCATGTACGTGGTTAACCGATGACCAGATCCTCGTTAAGCTCCAGTCGGGGTGCGACTGCACCGGAGCCCACCGGCTGGAGAGACTCAAGCGAAGGGCTACGGACAGAGGGGAGGGATCGGGGGGGGGGGCTCAATTCCATTCCCTGCACCAGAGCCCAAACCAAACTATGCTACGCCACCAAAGTTTGGGTGTTGTGACAAGAGTGGCTTTTATTTGCTTAGGGAGGCTTCAATGAGTCTCAAGACTCTATTTTTCAGGACGGTCCTGGCTTTTGAGTAGGAGTAAAACAGAGAACCGTGGAAAACAATACAAGCCATGTAGATAACAGGCTAAACACTCAAAAACACTGCACAGATGGATGCAATGCATCGCTGCACTGCCACCTCCTGGGGCCTGAATTGGCCAGCATGCAGGTAGTGCGAGACCAGGCGTTTGGATCGTGTAAAGCAATAGTAGGATTTTGAGTGCTGGCTTGTGCTCAAAAAGCAGGCCTTTAGAAGCTTAAAAAGTGGAATTTGAAATTATTGTTGTTGTTGTGGTCAGCCTATAACTTCCCACTGCTGTGCATACACCTCCCCCATTCCCTTCCATTCCCTCCTCTCATCAGCCCTCTCTGTCCAGCAGTGGCGCCTGAACCTTACGATGTTCGAGCTCGTTGTGCTCAGTGTCGCTCGCGTTGTGATCCGCCAACGTTTGAATTGTGTCGGCTCAGGCTCCCTGGCGGGCTCGGTGGCGGACAGGAGGGCCCCCCTCTTGGGGTCCTCGGGAGGGGTCTACGCTCTTCTCTCCGCCCACCTGGCCAACATCGCCATGGTAACGACCCCGCGCGAACCCACACTCATGAATAATCCTGGCTGCAGCCTGCCCCCCACTACCACTACCACCACCGCATCTGATCCTATTGTTTTATAAGCACCACGAGTGCCGCGTCTCGGCCCGACGTGCCTTGACCTAGGAGCCCATCGGTGCCTTCCCGTAGACGGTTCATTTTTCTCGTCTTGTTTTTTTTACGTGAAAAGATAATTCATCTCTTTATGTTCAGGCACAATCTAGAGATTGCTCAGGCACAATCTTGAGATTGGTCAGCCACAATCTTAGAGATTGTGGCTGAGTGGCAGCGTTATGATTGGCTCTGCGTCCCACCGGCATTAAAACCCCTAGTGGATAAAAGTAAAAAAAAGTGAAATTGGTGCATCGATTTCATCTGTTATATAGTAAAAAAAAATCGACGCTCGCACTCACGATACACGCAATTAATTGGTTACTGACGGTTTACGTTATAGTCAGGCTAACGGCATGAACCGAAACGCAATGACAAACAAATAAAAAAAACCCACATGGTAAAAACAAGACGAAATATAATTTGCCAAAAGTAATTTTAAAACAGGAGGAGTGTGAGGTGGGTGCTCCATGCCTTATTGCCCCAGCCTACCTCGATTACCCAGCGGTGTCGTTATCGAGTGCGCAGGCGGTGCAACTGCACGCTGTGACCCACGGCTCGGTGTGGAGCCAAGGCACCAGGCTTCGAAATAGGGCGGGCGGAGAAGTTTGGATCGGGGAGTGATGCTCCAAATGCCCAAACGTGGACGTGGGATTGGAGTTGCAACTCAATTCATATCAAGATGCAAAGATCCCCCCCCCCCCCCGTGGAGCCTTTGCAGACTCTTGGGGGCAAGTGGCGTTAGCGAGTACCACCTATGAAGGTCGGCACGGCGCACGAGTGGGTGGGCGGTCAACACCACGCCCGGACCGCCTTTGTCTCCCTAGTGGCGATGTTTTTTACACACTGCACCAGGCACTCATTTGAGGCTGAGTCGACCTAGGGGAGGCCGAGGACCTGTTCACATAAATCGTCGCCGGTGCTGGCCGTGAGCAGGGAATCGAACTCGGGTCGCCGGGTTCGTAGCGCAGCGCGCTCTAACTGCTACTCTACCGCCCCCCCCCCCCCCATATCAACAACAACCGCCATTCGCCATGAAGTGGCGGTGACATCACCACGTCGCTCGTGCCAGGCTAGGTGCACGTTAAGGCCACGTGAAGTGTGGAACGCGCGCTGGCAGGAGGTCACGGGACAGACCCAGCAGGTGCCATGGGTTACCTGACTGATCCACGCACACGCGCGCTCGCACGACAGACAGACAGAGAGAGACAGAGAGAGGCAGAAAGAGAGAATTGCGCGCCCTTTACATTCCGCCGAGTGATACCCGACGGCGCCAGGGGGTGAAGGACGTCGCGAATGCCGGAGGATTAGCGGGGAGGCATTGAGCTGCGCCTGTGTGGGCCGGCGCGACTGCCGCTGCGCCTGTATCCATAGCGATCACACGTGGTGGTGGTGGTGACAATGTGAGATGGGGAAGGAATGGTTGGTGGGGGGGGGTCCAGGATGGAGCTCCCACCAAGTACGTGGGACAGCAGTAGCGGCAGCAGCGACAGTGACAGCAGTGGAGCGGAGCTGTTAATCTCCGCCTCGCCCTCTCGTCAATAGCGGGAGTTCTATTATAGTAGTAACAGCCACTGTGGCAAGGCCCTCTCTGTCTTAAGAGGAGGCGGGATGGGGAATTTCACGCAGAATCCAATGAATCCACAACGTGATAAAAAAAACAATTCAAATGCTCTGGCCGGCACTCGTTGTGTGTGAGCGACACGGTGATGACGATTGTTGTTATTATTGATAACGATAATATCGAGAAATTGTACTAATGAAGCCTATAGAGATCCATAATACAGGTTTTTTTTGGGGGGTTAGATCGCGTAAATATTAATGTGTCGTTAAACCCGCCACCATCTGACACAGCCAATTAGTAAGATGTGTCACGTAAACAGAACATGCCAATCCGTTACTAGTACAGCACACCAGTGTTTTGGAGAGCAAATCCACAACATTTACAACGCCTAAAGAGATACAATAGCATCTCGATATTCATATTTATGTTTGGGTCAGATCGCCGTGTGAGTAAAATTTGTGCTGTACACCCTCCTCCACCCGACACGGCCGATTCGTAAAGTCGTCACGCGGACAAACGTGCACAATTTTTATCTTATATTTTAATTTACATGGCGCCTTCACCAAGGCGCTGAACAAAGAATTAATCATTTGCGCGTGATGAGATGAGTTTATGAGAAGGACGACAGCACATGGATGTGATGATGCGTGAAAAAAACAAAGATGATGAAAGTGACAATGAACGGTTAACGATGAGTGAGTGTGACGATCGGGTAGGCAAGCTGGGAAAGGGCACAACGGTGTCAATAATGAGGAAGGCAGGGGGAAGAGGAGTTCGTAAGGGAACAAAGGACAATGGACAGTGAAGCTGATTGTTTTGGCATGCAGGGGGCAGTTTGTTCCATACCGTTGTGCTTTAGCACGGAGCAATCCACACACATTTTTAGCTTGTAGGTTTATTGCAATGTTTAAAATTACCGTATCAACCTCCAGCAGCCGACAGAGCTAATCAAGTCAAATTGTCACGTGGGAAAATGTGCCAATTGGTTTGATTTTTCAGCAAACTGGAGGAACGTTGAAAAGCAAGAAAATTGGTGACAATTTCGTCCAACGTTTTGCCGGGGGTACAATCAGCATCATCAAGAAATATTCCAGAATTTTGGAAAATGCCCCCCCCCCCCCACCCCATCTCCCTTACTTCGGCGATCTGGCCAAAAATCCCAAATGTGAATTCTCATTCTGGTCGCTAAAGCCGACTACTACTTGTTAACTGTAGCACCTCCACAAACAAACCCATTCGTCAATTACTATAACCAGCACTTGCAATTAGAGAGATGCACTCTTGTAAATAAGATTAGTAATGATAAGGTTAAGTTATAAATCATCTGTAAACTAGAACATCTCAAGGTACTCGTGATTGGAGCGCATGAACTAGGGACACGCTGTGGGGGCAATGGAGCATAGTTATTCATGGCAATAACGATGTACGAATCTTAAATTTTGAAGCATGTGATACAAGAGCATCTCACGGAAACGTGCAATTAAATATGAGAAGCATCCGCAGTCTATTTCTCAAGAAAGGAAAAAAAAACTATTAAGACAGCTTCATGAAAGTGTGCGTAAGCCCTTTCACTGGGCGCAGACGCGTTTAATTGCTTAAACTTATTTATGGACGCGTATGTGTCTACAATAATTGGAAAAATGCTCTCTCAATGGAAGAACATGACAGTTGAATGAAAGCTTGTAGTTAAAAAAAAACTATCTTAATGAATAAAGTCTTTAAATGAGATTGCGATGAGAAAAAACAGGACGTGCGTTTTATTAGATTTATGGGGAGAGACAGCTCAATAGACATTTTTTTGTTTTTAACGTGAACGGAAAACAGAACGTAAATTCATTGCTGCTCAATACATTTGATACTTGGGGTGAATGGAATTGATCAGGTGAAAGTAAATGGTTGGCCACAAGGTCGGGATTCATCTTTCTCACTGGGAGCTCGGACAGAAGCCCAGTGAATGTGCAATGTTAGGTCAACGTCGGCATGTGGTTGGAACCGTTGGCTCAACGTTGGCCCAACGTTCCAACGTACATTGGCCCAACATACTGGATGGGCCTCGGTTGCTGAAGTGCATTTTTGTCACTCGCGTTTTACTCTTTATTCCATCGCCGTGGCACAAAGAAGTGACGTGGATTGTCATGACTTCTCTGAATGACGTGGAGCAGTGGCGCAGCAGTTAGCACGCTCCGCGCTATGAACCAAGTGACCCGAGTTCAGGTTGCAGCCGTGGCTTACATCAGCGGCGAGTGATGTCTGGATCAGGTGCCGGGCCTCCACCTTCTTGCACCAACCCGAATTGACCAGCGTGGTGAAGTATGGTCAAACGACTCCTATGACCGAAATGGCGTGGGAAGGCACCTTCATCCACCACATAATTGACAAAAGGGCCGTTAATTTTAATTATTGCACCGCTAACGATGGAACAATGAAACCCCAATGAAATGCATTTGAATGCAAAACTACGTTGGTGAATTGAGAGTGAAAATTACCACACAATAAAGGAGAGAAAATGAGAGTATGGAGCGGCCAACAAAAGGTTATATGGCCTGCAACAACCGCTGAGCCTCGCGATCATTAGCATGCAAAACTCACTTCTCAGCTGCCCCCCCCCGCCATCCATCTGCCCCCCCCTGCCCCCACCCATGCATTGTATGGATCATCCCCTCCCCCTCACCACCGCCACCCATCAAGCTCTCAAAAGTGTCAGAAATAAAGAGAGACGAGCGGACGGGCGGGCGGGCGGGCGAGCGAGCAGGGCCCAGCTATAAATGCTGCCCAGCTGGCCCAAGGCCCTGCTTCATGGCCATTAATCGGGCCACTTGGGACCGACAGTTAAATGTGCTACTCTTGTGGTGGCGTGGCCTTGGTGTTTTTGTGGTCCATGGCTCGGCAGCGATGAGGTTGGGGTTGGGGGGGGGGGGCGTTGGCTTTGTTGATGAAAGTGCTGCGCTGCTCAATGCGGAATAAAATACAAATGGCGTGGTTTGCGGTTGTTCGGTAAAACACTTTGGTGCGGACGATACGCGAAACAGCCTTTCCGGCAACAACGGCACATTGCCTTTTGCCATTTTTGAATTGTTGTGGTAGACTCCACTGGCATTAGCGTGTGTTTGCCGCATCTTAAAACGAGGGCCCCCTGTCAAATTTCCATCTCTCTCTCTTTTTGTAGCCGGTGCAGTTGCAGCACCTGCACACTCGATCGCTACGCCATTGGCAGGCAACGCTGCGAATAGGTCCTTTGTGTGTGTTTTTTTATCGGGGTGGGTGGTGGGGTGTAACAGCGATTGACATACACATACAGTACCTCAATGTAATGTTGTGCTTGGACTTTAATTTCAGATCAACTTTGAAGCCATGTGCCATATAAGCTTGCCACATTTGTTATTATGTTCGAATTTGCTTTAATGTGTTATCTTGCAACACATGGTAACATCATCTTCGACTCCCAGCTATGACTATGCTAGTGGTGAGTGATATCTGAACCGGTCCTGGGACATCACCCCACAAAAACCCTGACAAACTGCGGTGGTAAAGTATGATCAAACAACCCACAAGACTGACACGGAATTGGAAGCCCTTCATCTACCAGTGGACTATACATTCCTTGAGCATTGATATATAGCCATTGCCTGAAGGGCAAGCCTCTTGTATACATTTCTGTCATAAGGCAGCGTTCATCACAGATGTGGTGAGTATTTGATTGTGGATGCGTGCCAAGGTAAACGCAACTAATACTCATTTATTATGCCACGTAATGAACTGAATGCAACTGCTTTAAAATGAATTGCCCAAATATATAAGACAAATATCCCAGAATGACACTCATGTAAAAATCATAACACTCAAGATAACCTTTCCTGGGTGAACAGCAAGATAATTTTGATCGTTGTGTTGTACGCTGTTATACATATTCTTTCACTACCAATATAAGTCATAATTCGTTTATTTCGGCTTGTAGGTTTAATGCAATGTTTGAAATTAACGTATCAACCTCCAGCAGCCGACAGAGCTAATCAAATAAAGTCGTCACGTGGGCAAATGTGCCAATTGATTTGTTTTTTTCAGCAAACTGGAGGAACGTTAAAAAGCAAGCCCAATTTGTTGACAAACTTGTCCGACGTGTCGCTGGAGATTACATCCAGCATCATCAGGCGTTGGCAAAAGCTCAGCTGTCATCGCGTGTACTACACACTTTCAAAAGAAAATCACCAGAATTGTTTGTTGACGATACAGCACTGACTTTAAAAAAACTTCATAGTTGTTCCTCCGTCAATCTCCCCGCCCCCCCCCCCCCCTCTCATTTGTTTTGCTAGAACTGGTCGAGGATGAAAGGTTCCTTCAGAGTGTTGAGGATGGCCTTCCTCCTGCTGCTCAGTAAGTGACGTTGCACCTCGAGTTAAGCCCCGCTCACTCTAGTACCCGATGAGTACGGCTAAGGGGCCGTCCATTAATGAGGTCACGCGATTTTGGACAATTTTTTCCCCACCCCCCCCATCGTCACATGGCGTCACAAAATGTCAGACCCCCCTCCCTCAAATATGACGTCACAAAGCTCTGCCCCCCCCCCCCAAATAAAACATGCTTCAAATCGCTTAAAACTATTGTCATTGTAGTGCGTATTTAATGTGCCGCTGCACTCTGATGTTGTAGGAGAAAACATGTATTTCAAAGTCTATTTAATGAAGTAGAACGTGTTGTCTATATTTATTTCAAGTTGCGCATTTTGATGTGATGTCACATTTCTCAAACCCCCCCCCCCCTCGTCACACATAGTCACAAATGTCTGACCCCCACCTAGGTGCGTGACGTCATTTATGGACGGCCCCAAGGATGTTTGCAGTGATGGTTAAATATCGTGGGTCGAATCCAGCCTTGGCTCCTTCTGATGCCACCTTAGATCTGAGGACCGGATCTCGGTGCCTCATTCTCTTGCCACACTTTTTAATAATACTGATGATGATACGTAATACAACTTGCATTTCAATTGCTTCACGAATGTAACAAAACATCTCGGAGTGCAGTTTTTTTGTTTTGCCAAGGGGACCTCCCGATGACAGCTTGTCCCTGTGCGGTACAGGCTGAGTGAGCTACGACGTTTCGCTGGTACTCAAATTGTAAATGTTGTGGATTCACTCTTCAACACGCCGGCGGGCTGAAGTAGTAACTATTTGTCTTGTTTACGTGACAAATCCCTTGCTGATTGGCCGTGTCGGGTGGTGGAGGGTTTCGACACATCTATACTTACGCGATCTAACCCAAAAACATTTATTACGAATAATTTTGGTCGCGAAAGCCTACGTGTTAAACGGGTGGTCATCAGTCTGCCAGTAACAGAGCGGAGTCATTTGCGAGTCGGGTCCAGGTATTTAAAAAAATCTAAAATGTGGACCCTGACGTCGATACCACACATGGCCTGTCACCCGACTCACCGTCTCACTCTTGCCGCTGCCTCCCCCGTCGCAGTGAGCGCCGAATTGGGCCGCGCGGTGTGGCTCCGTCTCTCCCCGAGGCCGTCGCCTGCCCAGCCCAGCTTCGTGCCCCACCTGGCCGGGGTGTGGGTGGGCCTCACGCTCGGTCTGGCCGTGCTGCGTGGCTACGAGCAGCGGCTGCGCGACCAGTGCTGCTGGCGCGTCGCGTCGCTGGCGTACGCCGCATCCGTGCTGCTCGCCGTCGCGTGCAACGTGGCGATGGGTGACCCGGGGTCAGCCGACACGCCACCACCGGCGGCAGAGGTGGCGGCGGCAGGGGGCCACTGACCGTTGCTTTTTGGCCGTGAGATCCCCGCGTGGGTGTGATGGGGCCCGGCTCGGGTTGCCACCCTCTGGAAGAAAACAACGGTAGAAAATTGAGAGTGATTTTCTGCTCAAATGTTTACAGCCCTGATGAGCCAGTTGTGGAAATTCCACATTGATATGGCGGGGGTGAGTCTATCCATAGGAAAACCACCGTGGAGTCCTCTACAAAATGGTACTTAGTTTATCAACCCGAGAGAGAGGATCAGTTGACTCAACCCCCCCCCCCCCAAACGGGATTAGAACTGGAAGTTTCTAATTGCAAGCTGCTTGCTCGCTCGAACCACCCGAGGTACAAAATTATCCAGAACATATCATGGGACGAAGAATATTTCGCAACAATATGAGGGGAAAACTACATGTAAATGATATGTAAAGAAAGCTAAGACTTTTAATGTCCTAGGAAGACTTTACAGATTTCCTAGCAATAGCTACCTCAAAAAGAAGGACGATCCTGGGAAAACCGGGACAGGTGGCAACCCTAGGCCCCGTGTCGATATTATTAAGAGGGCCTCTTTTCGGACGGGCGGACGGGCGGGTGGCGTGAGCCCGCAGTGAACGTAGAAAATTGTCTTTGAGGTTGGGACTCAACTACCCTCGAGATGGGCTTCCTGGAGCTCCCTCTAGTGGAGGCCCTTCTACGAGCAGTGGGTGAGCGAACGATGATCACACGACACGTTTACCTAAAAAGGGATGCAAAGACAATGGCGTGTGGAAAACGAGGTGGTATTTAATGAAGCTAAATAATTTATACTTGCGATAGTGTTATTTTTCGTATGGTTGTTTTATTTAATGAAAGTGATTTTTTTTCATATAGATATTTAAATGTTGACGTTCTTATTTGCTTTCGTTGTGTGATATATATTTTCATCAGCGTTGTCGTTTTTATACAAGTACATGATACTGCCATTTTGGAAAATAAACACATTTTGACACATGTGCTGGGAAATTAACGATTTTGCTGCCAGAGAGATTTGATGTTTTGCATATTTTGGCAAAACGTTGATGTCCTTGACGTATACAATACGCCACATTTTTGAAACTGCATTTTAGCACACATTCCTAAATAATGTAAAACTGTTGTTAACACCCTTTGTCACCACAATACTGGATGAACAGCACATTTTGATCGTGAGATGTTGTTTTCACCAAGCTGGTGAAGGTGAGTGACTAGGACCTGCTCAGATATAACTCGACTATGATGGAAGTTGTGGCTGGGTATTGAACTCGGGTTTCCAGGTTCGTAGTGCAGTACATTAAATACCACCACTGCACCCCAAAGTTACACACACACACATTTAAACGCATGGAAAAGCTTAAAGAGCACCCTTGTAATTTGAACATGATTGCCAGATGCTGAATACCGATTAGGTTGTTTTGCGTGGTTATGTTTTAGAGCAACCTTGACGTTTTCGTGTTTTACCACGCGTTCAATATCCAATTCATTTCCAGTAGAAGCCACCGGCATTTGGTATGAAACATCGGGCATCATGCCAGACAACCCATGGTACAACTTGAAAAGACATCGGAGGGCCAGACAGCAATAGATTTTCCGAAGGGGCTGTTTGCGATGAAATGGTTAAGCCAGTCGGTCGGTCCTTTGTTAGGTTGCAAAAGCCACGCTGAGCAGAGTGGAGCCCACGAATGCAATAAGGAATGCAGGACAGCCCCCTGGACCACTATTTCATTTTTACAGTTTCATCAATTTCCATAAAAGTGACTTTTACATACGCTGATAAACAATTCCCATGTGACCTCATTTAACGCCCTTATTTAAGTGCCCCATTCCATGGATGCCTTTACCAGTGCACCATTACTCTGGATGATTTCACATTGAGTCCAGAAAACCCGAGTTTGATTCCTAGCCGTGGCGAATGTCAGTGGTGAGTGAAATCTCTCTCCACCATTCAGTGACCAGCGTGGTGAAGGTATGGTCAGACAACCCCCATGGATGACAGGACATTTGAAGGCTGTCATTCAGCCGTGGAATGACAACGGTCTGAAGGCCTCCCCAAGCCATTGCCATACCTCATGGTCATGCGATGCAACAATCCATCCACTACGTGCACACAAGCTGAATTATCGCTCCATCTCTGCGGTGGATATCTTCGGTGTGATAATCATTCGGCTGTCACTCCATCAATGGGAACATGTAATTTTATTTGCTTGTACCGTAAGGCACGCAACATTAGCTTATAGCAGGTTTATAACATCATGCCTATGTTCCTCTGAATACAAATATAAAATTGTGTTGTGCCAATCCACCTGCCGTGCCACCAGTTTTCACACTCAGGGCTCATGGTGAGGACTTGTTTAATGTAATCCTCCACCCTCTGCGAGGATATACAGTATTTATAAAGAAGCCTACAAATCCCGTCGTGGCGCCAGCGAAGTGTATCCAACACACACACAGAACAGAAATGATCATCTTTGAAGTGGTCTGCAATAGTTTTTGTGAACTGAATTTTTAAATTAAAATTGTTTAGCTTCATACACTATTAATTTAACTATTCCTAAGCATGACATCAGTCTGTGAAGCGCTATTTGAGAGATGGCGTACAATCAAATGAATTATCATAACTATCTTTGACCTAAATTTTGATTTAAAGCTTTCGTGACTGCAGGGATTCATATTCTTGGTTCTTTCGGTAGAGTCACGTAGAAGGGAAATAATAAAATAATATATATATATAAAACAATAAAAAAATTCTCACGACGTTTCGACTGCAACACAAGCAATCATCATCAGGTGTGAAATCCACAGCAAGAAAATTTTCTTGCAAAATAAAATTTTCTCTTGCTGTGGATTTCACACCTGCAAAAGAAAATTTTCTTGCACATTTTGATGTGACGTCACATTTCTCACCCCCCCCCCCCCCTCGTCACACATCGTCACAAATGTCTGACCCCCCCCCCCCCATAGTTGCGTGACGTCATTTATGGACGGCCCCTTACTGGCAAAACGTCACGTTACCCGAATTGTTAACGTGTTGTGGGTGAACTCTCCAACACAACCGGCGTGTAGAACTAGTTTTTGTTTACGTGACAAACCTTACTGGCTGTGTCGGGTGGTGGCGGGTTTAACGACACAACATTTATAGTTATGCGATACAACCCCCCCCCCCCCCAAAAAAGACTCTGTGATGGAAATACTGCCGGGAGTTGGCGTTGATTGAGAGGAGGACGTGGGCAGAGGTGCAGGGGATGCGGGGGGGGGGGGTGCGGGGTGGGTGGGTGCGGGGGGGTGCGGGGGTGGGGTGCGGGGGGGTGCGGGGGTGGGGTGCGGGGGTGGGGTGAGGGACGGGGGTGGGGTGCGGGGGTGGGGTGAGGGAGGTGCGGGGGGGGGTGCGGGGGTGGGGGGGTGCGGGGGTGGGGTGGGTGCGGGGGGGTGCGAGGGTGGGGTGAGGGAGGTGCGGGGGGGGGGGTGCGGGGGTGGGGTGGGGTGGGTGCGGGGGGGGTGCGGGTGGTTGCGGGGGGGTGCGGTGGGGGGTGAGGGAGGTGCGGGGGGGTGCGGGGGTGGGGTGAGGGAGGTGCGGGGGGGGGTGCGGGTGGGTGCGGGGGGGTGCGGTGGGGGGTGAGGGAGGTGCGGGGGGGGTGCGGGGGTGGGGTGAGGGAGGTGCGGGGTGGGTGCGGGGGTGGGGTGGGTGCGGGGGGGTGCGGGGGTGGGGTGGGTGCGGGGGGGTGCGAGGGTGGGGTGAGGGAGGTGCGGGGGGGGTGCGGGGGTGGGGTGAGGGAGGTGCGGGGGGGGTGCGGGGGTGGGGTGGGTGCGGGGGGGTGCGGGGGTGGGGTGGGTGCGGGGGGATGCGAGGGTGGGGTGAGGGAGGTGCGGGGGGGGGGTGCGGGGGTGGGGTGAGGGAGGTGCGGGGGGGTGCGGGGGTGGGGTGGGTGCGGGGGGGTGCAGGGGTGGGGTGGGTGCGGGGGGGTGCGGGGGTGGGGTGAGGGAGGTGCGGGGGGGGGGGTGCGGGGGTGGGGTGGGTGCGGGGGGGTGCGGGGGTGGGGTGCGGGGGGGTGCGGGGGTGGGGTGCGGGGGTGGGGTGAGGGAGGAGCGGGGGGGGTGCGGGGGTGGGTGCGGGGGGGATGTGGTGGGGGGTGAGGGAGGTGCGGGGGGTGCGGGGGTGGGGTGGGTGCGGGGGGGTGCGGGGGGGTGCGAGGGTGGGGTGAGGGAGGTGCGGGGGGGGGTGCGGGGGTGGGGTGAGGGAGGTGCGGGGGGGGTGCGGGGGTGGGGTGGGTGCGGGGGGGTGCGAGGGTGGGGTGAGGAGCGGGGGGGGTGCGAGGGTGGGGTGAGGAGCGGGGGGGGTGCGAGGGTGGGGTGGGTGCGGGGGGGATGCGGTGGGGGGTGAGGGAGGTGCGGGGGGTGCGGGGGTGTGGTGGGAGCGGGGGGATGTGGAGGGTTGTGGGGGGGGGGGCAGTGGGGGGTTGCGGAGGGGTTCGAGGGGGTGTGGCTTACGGTTCGACTGATCTCCGCCCACAAGCCGACATCTGACCAATCAGAGCCTTGTAACCAAAAGGGGCGTGGTCACTTCTCTCTCCGGCTCCGATTGGTCGGACAGCAAAGTCTCTCTCTCTGCTCTGTGATTGGTCAAGTTGGGGCCCCGGCGCGCGGTGCACGCTGGGAACGGGACGCCGCCATTTCGCGAGGCTACCCCTAGCACGAATCGCGAGGCTTCGTCTGCGCAGCTTCCTCGGGCTCTCTCGCCGCCTTGCCATGGGGAGGAAGAAAAAGAAGAACGTGAAGCCCTGGTGCTGGTATCCTTTGCGACTTCTGGTGGCGGCGCGTGGGGTGGGGAGGGGGAGTCTTGAGACGCGGAGGTTGCCAACTCCTGGGTTGGGCCCGCTGAGGCCTCGTGTAGGCTGAGGCCTCGGGAGCAACTAGGCGACGTCGGCAGCTACAATAAACTCCTCACGCGTTAATGTTTTGTTTTTACTTTAACCACTTGTCTAAGGTGTGTCACGCGCGCGTGTATCGGCGTTTAACGGTGACTTGGCAGGTCTTTTTCGCGCCGTGGTGCGATACGTGGAGTCTTTGGAGTTTACCGATTGGAGCTGTTTGGGGTGGGGGTGTTGTCATGGGATGGCGAGGGAGGTTTGAGGGGAATTAGTTTAGTGTTCGTATTTGTGTTGGAGGGACGTGATGATGAGCAGGGGATGCTGACATGTAAGATGGTTTTGGAGGATAGTAAGCGGCAGAAGATGATCAGGGGGATGGAAGGTGGAAAGAAGAGTGATGGGGGGGGGGATAATGCATCATGACGAATGGGAACCTATGGCGCGATTGCTGGCGATGTGGACAATGAGTTTGATGAGGGAGAAAGATAAAGGATGTTGAGAGATATGAAGGAGGGAGGTGATTAGGGTCATTTGGGTGAAATGGGAGAGATGAATGGAGGAGGGTCGAGAGCAATTGGCGTTGGTATGGAGAATACGGATAATGAGGTGATGTGGTATGACAAGAATGCAGTGGGGGTTAAATAGGGTGATTGTGATACCCGATGAAATGCGGAAAAGTATGAAGATATGGATGATGAGGTGAAGGAAGTTCAGATTGAGGGGAATGTGGCTATTGAACAAAGAATGTGGGTCATTTTGTCACCAATAACGGTATGTCATTTACTCGGTACAATATGTACATTGATGAACAATTCAAAATGCACCTGCAACATCTTAGGAATTGTATGGTCTCGATCAGTCAACGTTCACACACTGCGTTATTCACAAACTGTTTTGAGACCATGTCGAATTTTCAGAAGAGAATAAGTATTTTCATGGGCGGTAGTATGCGTGGCGTGTTGCATGCTGCGAGGGGTTTTCCTCAACTGCACGTCTTACCCAGGTACTGCAACAGAGAGTTTGACGATGAGAAGATTTTGATTCAACATCAGAAAGCCAAGCATTTCAAGTGTCACATATGTCACAAGAAGCTTTACACCGGGCCAGGTCTGGTCATTCACTGTATGCAGGTATGTTTTTGGTGCGCTGTTTTTGCCGGTTTTTATGCACTGCATTTGGAGATATTTTTTATTTATTATACTTTAAATGAATCTGTCTTGTATAATTATTCAACCTGTCAGCAATTCGATGGATTGTTACAAAGTGAGGTCCGGATTGAATTAGATCATTTAGTTATCTTGTCTCATTTTAATACTTAGTCCCATAAGTGCAAATGTAACTAATTTTGCTAAATTCTCACAATGTATGTAGTCCTGGCCCAAGAATTGTATTCGGAATGTATCAATTGTTACATTCATAATTATTAAAACACTTCTTTATATAACGGAGTACAATGCAGCTGGACGAAAAAGTAGTTATTTTTTCTCTAATGGTTCTTACAGGTTCACAAGGAAACTGTTGATGCAGTGCCAAATGCTATTCCTGGGAGGACCGACATCGAGTTGGAAATATACGGCATGGAAGGTATCCCTGATAAAGACGTGGAGGAGAGACGGCGTATGATGGAGCAGAAGTCGCTGGGTAAGCGTAGAGTGCCACGTGCGTGTTGGTGTCACATTGTAAATACAGCCAGAAAGTGCAATTCGATGGTTAGCTACGTGCGGTCCGAACGAAGTTCAACAGCATACACCCTCCAGCACCAACACATTGAATCCCCCCTGCTCCCAAATCCCCAAGCGAGCTCTTTTTCGATTCCCTAATCTCAACAGTGGTGACCGATCTGATGCAGCCTCGAGGCCCAGTCTCTTCCTCAACACAAGGTTCTCTAGCACAGATCACCGACTGGGCAGGGTCAACCAATTGGAAGCAAGCCATATATCCAAAGTGGTGCGCTAGTTGGTTTTCCTGTGTCATGTGTATGGCAAGCCATCACTTAGTTTTCAGGGGTAGCCTATGGTTAGACACAAAGTGATCTCATCGGTTCTCCAATATTCTGTAAAGAGACCTGGTAAGAAAGGAGTTCAATCATGACCTCCGTGGTTCCCAGTTTGAGGATTGACACAATTTATCTTTGTTCTTACAGAGGCCAAGAAGAAGCAGAACCAAACCAGCCAGGAGAACTCTGAAGAGAGCGAGGATGAAGAGCCCAGCACCTTCTCTGGGCAAACAGAGGCCGTACCCCAAGCCGCACCTGCCATACCCACCATGGCTCCCATGCCCAACATGATGCCAGGTGAAGAACTTTGTTCTGGTCTCTTTCAGTAGAATTGAGGCGTGACTCTAAAAACAAATAGCGCTTGCACGTTTTAAACTCGGCTGTGTCTCCCAGGCTGGCTAACATGAGTTTGAAGTCAAGTAGGTAAAACTTTACTGGAAAAAACCTAAGAATATTAATCCTTGCAGTCACGAAAGCTTCAAATCTAGAATGAGTTTGAAGCTACTTGTAAACCAGATGGATATCTGTTTTAACATGTCTTTTGTTGAACAAAAGAGAGACATCTGGTCTCATTGGGCTTTTATAATGGTTGTAAAGGTAGTTCTATGTAAACTGACTTTCAAGAAACATTCGTTTTCTGTATTTATTAAATCACTATCTGCATCACCAGTGTCTTTGAGCCGATTTAAAAATCCTGTTTTTCTTATTACCAAAGCCTCAAAACTTTAAACTTATAGTCAAATAATAATTGTTGTTTTTTTTTGTAGTTTTGTGTCCTGTGTCAAGATAAATTGCGTTACTGCCTGATACATGCAGCAGCCTTTGACATTCGCACAATTTTCACATTGTCGTTTAAATATGTATATATATTTTAGTTTTTGCACCTTCAAAAGCTAATGTGTTCTGTATTGTTTAGGGATGCCAGCAATGATGCAAGGAATGCCACCCATGATGCCAGGGATGCCACCGATGATGCCAGGGTATGTAACAAATCACCATGCAATGCAACTTGAGCTTTAATAGATCTGAATGCCAAGATGGAAAGCCAACCATATGGGTCAGAGTAATTGGGCTCAAGATTTGGTCTATTGTTTACTAATGTATTTGCATTTGTTGTGGTCTTCAAAGCATGATGCCTATGGGTGGGATGATGCCTCATGCGCATGGAATGCATCCGATGGTGCCTGGAATGCCGCAGGCCCCTCCAGGTGAGTGAACCAAACCCTCAGATCACATTGGGCATGTTTGTTTTGGCCATATTCTATCTCTTGAGAGTAAAAACAATCAGTTGGACTGCAATCTTTGTAGCAGGGCTTCTGAGACATTTGAGGTCACTTTCAGAGATTTGTGATGTAATCCCTTCATCTTTACCCACAGCTGATATTTTAACATAAATTTGTGCATTTTTTTGAATATTTCAAACGGATGAGTACTTAATCACATGACACTAATACCACTTGCACTGTGACATGCAGTCAGAACTTTTCAACATGCTCCCATACAATAATCTTATATGTTGGTCTTCTCATGCATTCATTGCCACCCACTCCTTTTGCCTCAGTCCCAGTTGCCACCCCCTGTCACATCCAGTGAATCACCTTTCACGTGAGCACGCCGTGTTCTAGCAAAACATCCTTTTGCACATCCACACTTGGGGATGCGGTTACCCTGTCGGCTTCAATAATTGTTTTTTTGTCTGCGATAGGCTACGCACCACGTCCAGGGTTGATGCCTATTCCCGGGCAGCACAACGGGATGCCTCAACGACCGGTCCTGCAGCAGCCGCCTGTCACCAAGCCTCTCTTCCCGAGTGCTGGGCAGGTGTGTGAACAGTGGTGCATACAACAAGACCGGGTCAATTCAGGACCGACTATGCTGCCTTGTGTTCCTTGGCTTTATTAACGTTGAAGAATTGGCCCGTTTCATAAAGCAATCAAGCATCATTTGTTTAAAATACTCCCATTATATCTTGTGCACAATGTGTAGCTTGTACATGTATAGCCAATTTTTCAGCCAACTGCTGTATTAGGGTCTCCCCCCCCCCCCCCCCCCCAATTGTGGTGATCATAGGGCTGATTCGACTGAACTTCATACTGGTCATTGTAGGTTGTAAAGGTGGGCAGTGCAGATACGAGATGATGGAAATCCGTGACAACAAAGACATTGTATGCACTGACCTATGCCGACCATGTAGCCTAGCTGCCTTTAGCAACCTGTTGTACAAGCTGGTCACTCATCCAAGCACCATCCAGACTCAACCCCGCAGTGGAATGAAAAAGAGCTGCTGTGATGAGGTCGGGCAACATTCTGGGTGATTTGGTCATAGGCAATTTGTATCTTATATACTAGAAAAGAACCTTATCCTCTTTAAATTAAGGTTTTCCTGTTCTTTCCTACCTCTCTGGTAGATTTCTTCCCACCTGTCCACCGCTGTCTCTTCTTCTATTACGTCCTCTTCGGCCTCTCCCTCTAAATCCCTCCCTACAGCATCACAAGTAAGCTTTGTGCACGCTCGGAAGAGCCCTAAGTGGTGCATGCAGTTTAACCGTTACATGTTCATCGTAAACGTTGCGGTTTGGATTTGTTCTCGCTGCAATAAATAGTGTAGAAGTCCCTGCCATCCACAATAAAACTGTTGTGTACTAACATTGTACCTCTGTTTTTTCTGAATTGGATTCTAGAAACTGTAAGTTTACACTAAATTGCTTATAACTGTTCACCTTAAATGCCAATAAATAAGTTGATAAATAACTACTCTTCTGTTACCTTGGGTTTATTGAATAAAAAAATTGAATTACAATTCCCTGAGCTATTTAGATATTCACTAAATGTGTTTATGCAACTGGTCGCTGAAGTTTTTGATTCCATTTCAGTAGACTTTGCCTTAGATTAATATGTGATATTGACGATTAAATTAGTGCAGATTACATTTTCCATTTGCATCTGTGTGTTCTTCATCAGTGCCTCATTTGTAATGCCTCTTGTCTACGAGTGTGACGACACTTGAGCATTGTTGACACCAGACCTACCTCAACCTCGTTTTGCCCCCGCAGCCCACCACGACATCGTCTGCGCCCGTGGGCACAGACTTTAAGCCGCTGGGCGGAATTTCACCGTCGACAGCCGGGTCGCCCCGTCCCACCTTCCCGGCGTACTCCCAGCAGCAACACCACGCCGCGCCGTCCACAGCGGGCGCCAGCACGTCGGCCCACGCTGGGGAGGCGGCGTGCAAGGCGCCTACGCTCGCGGCCAGTAAGCCTGCCGCTCTGAACGTCAACAGCGCCACGTGCCGGCTCATCCACCCGGACGAGGACATCTCGCTGGTCAGTGGGCGCAGCCACCGCTGACGAGCAGCGTGGCCCGGTCGCGATGAATTGTCGCGCTGGCAAAAAAAAACGGTTGGTGCGTTTGTCCTCTAGTGTGAACTTACAGTTACTTGTGCTGCGGCCTACCCCTTCCCCCACCACCCCCTTCAGAGATAGTGCGCAGTAAGAATTAAGAAATGATATTCCCCCTCGGGTAAGAGTTGTGTGCCCAACATGCTCCATCCCCACAGCATTTTCCTTTAGGATTGGTGTTCTTGAGCTGCACATTATTGTTCACAAACCTATACTCTTGTAGTTTAAATGTTGTGATGTGATAAAAGACATTTGCTTAAATGCTTTGATCCGATTGCCTTATTTGCTTGGATTTAATTTGAGTTACTTTTACAGGAGGAGAAAAGGGCGCAGATACCAAAGTACCAGTGTAAGGTACCCATGTATGGCCAGACCGGGATGGGGAACATGGCTGGAATGCCTGGTATGAGGCCACCTGGCCCTCCGCAAGGTAACAAACAACATTTGTGGCGACAGTGGCCTGGTGTCACAGTACATGCTGCTCTCACGCCAAATGGGCTTCCACATTTTCCACACACAGTAAGCATCATTTGATGTACAAGGAATGTTGGAAAAATACACTTAAAAAGCCACCCTCACTTGATTGGTCAATGGAGACGACTGTTGATGTTTTAATTGACAGTGTAGCTCATTGCGATTTGTGTCTGTTGCTTGTGTGTGTGGCAGGTCCTTACGGTCCCGGTCCACAGGGCATGCCCAGGTACCCACATCACCCTGGGGGCATGGCCCCTTATGGCCAGGGCCACCCACCTCCTGGGCCACACAGGATGCAGCCATATAACCCTGGGCCTCCTCGGCCCCCCATGGGCATGCCGGGAATGAGACCTCACATGATGGGTCATGGCGGGCGCTACTGAGGCATCCATCCATCCAGCTGTCCCCGACCAGAGCCAGGAGCAGCTAAGTAGAATGTGGCATCGCACCAATGTGACCCACCCGTACAGAAGTTAATATATGCTTGTGTTTTGATCCCAGGACACATTTGCATGCAGCCTACCAGAATTTCTCTACAATTCATAAAAGTTGCCATTTAAAATACCAGGGTAGGTAGACATCTGAAGGAAAGCATAATTTTTGAATATATATGGTTAGATGTCGGTTGTTCATTTTTGTGTTTGTCATTTGACGATGTTGGCGTTGACTTTTTGAATTTAACCTGGTTGTGTACTTGTGTACTTGAACATAACTTCTCCTAATACACAGCACATCTGTTTACCCTTGGACTTATTTCTGTTTAGTTTTTAGGCTGAGATGGAGTCACTTCACTTGCCTTGTGTAAAGGACACGCTGCAGTCTTGTAGTTGTGCCAAGGCAAGTGGAACTTTTAATACCGCAACTCCAGTCAGATGATCGATATAGAGTGGGAAGGTCTTTCACAGCGATACTCGCTGTTGGACTCTTATCAATAGAGTCCCCAAACACAGTTTGGCGAGGGCCTTTCTCTGTTACACTGATTGCCGTGTGCAGCGGAGAGACAGCTGTCAACGTTTTAATTGGAGAACTTGTTATTGGTCCACACAACTTTGTCGGCACGAGGTGCATTGATATTGTTATCTCGGATTGTTGTCTTATAAGAACTCTTTAGCCTAGTTTAAAAACATTTTGGTGAGAATATGCTCATAGCGGTTACATAATTGTTCCTTCAGAGCCAAGCACAAAATCCCCTTTCACATTCGAGCTGTCTCTCCGCTACTGCCAAGTTGTAGTATGTCCGGATGTGAGCCTCTGTTCAGGAAACAAAAGGTATAGTACCCAGCCCTAGTTTTAACAATAAACACTTAACAAGTTTGATTTGTTTTACATTAGAGCCCATAGACATGGCAGAATGTAAATAAGCACTGCTTTTGCCCCCCCTCCCTCTTGACGGGAACCAGCAAAAAGGTTTGTGGATGCAGGTTTGTGACCTCGATTCTTGCTGTTCTTGCTGTAGTTGTGTATTCTGTTCTTACACCAATAAAGTCGTTGGCCTGAGGAACACGCTGCTACGTGTAACTGGTTTGTACCGCACCTGCACTTGGGTTAGCAAAAAAAATAATTCCGCCCCTTCCCACGAGTTTTATCCGCTCTTCCCTTGATCCCGCCACCCCCCACAACGAGTAAGTTCTACATTGCTCGAAGGTAACACGTGTGTGACTGCGCCATCACTTGTGTGGATGAGGTTGCTACGTAACGTGATGCCTGACCTCCCAGCAAAAAAAGATTGGCGGTCCCGCCTGTACGTTTTTGGTAATGCACATTTCGCTCCGGAAATAATTGCAAAAGCAGTACATTTATAACAACCAATGCATCTGCACGTGCGAATATACATGTCAAAAAGGGAATACGTTGGAGTTTGTTGATTGTAATCTACAGCCGCACTTGAATTTGCATTGGGACCCTGACGACTTAAAAGTTTTAATGTCCCTGGTGTCATCACGTTCATGTGCCGTAAGTGTTGTGTTTAACAGCGTAAAGTTATATTTGTACTGTTTTCCTGCTGGAGAGTTGGTGTTTAAGCCAGAAAATGGTTTGTGAGGTCTGATTTGAAATGGGCGAAAGTGAAAATGTGTACGTTGATGTTTTTTCTTCATGTGGAAGTGAGGACATTGTTGGAAAATGAAGCATTTCTGATCACTAACGAATTCCCTTGGGAAAAATTGGGAAATATTACAACTTGGGGTTTTCAGGTACAAGTCGGTCAACTTCTGGTTTAAATCCAGCGATTTCTTCACTGCCATTACAGCTATTCTTTGGGTCTTTCGGTAAAGTCACGTAGATAGAAATACAAATTTCAGGCCTGATGACGATTGCTTGCGTTGCGATCAAAACGTCATGATATTTAAATTTCTATCTACGTGACTTACCGAAAGACCCAAAGAATATGAATTCCTGCGGTCACGAAAGCCTTAAGTCAATGCCATTACAGCTGTTTATTGTAGGCATTGTTACGAGGGGTGTAACGATACAATTTGCGTGCAGACGTTGGAGGCTGTTGCATTCACCATGTTAACATGGGCATTTTCTCTCGATTCCCGACAGCTTAATCGCCTCTGATTTGTTATCAACATTGATTTGAGCTGTTGCATGATGAACAAACTCTGTCCTTTGTTGTGAAACGTTATGGGCGAAAGCAAATATAAACAAAACCCTGTCGACACTTAAAAACAAAAATTTTGTCCCAACATTGGCTTTCCAGACCCATGTTCCCAGCAACATTTTAAGTAGGCAAACTGCACAGATTTCGACCGGAGCCTTGTCACCAGATCAGTGTCGAAAACATTGCAGTTTGCTTCAATATTGGTTAGTATTTGTCTTGGAAAGCCAATCGGCTGTTGGACTTTAAAAAAACATGTATTTTATATATGGGGGATTAATCAGTTATGGTTATATATGCTTTTGCAGTCTGGTGCGTGGTGGGTTAGGATGGGGTGGGCGGGGGGGGGGGGGGAGTTGAGGGGGGGCTGATCTGCAGGGTAACGTGGCGCTTCTCTTCTCGTTTTTTGTAGTCCTGCCGTTGGAGCGCGCAGTCACAGGGCTGCCCTCTTTGAGGCAAGTTTAACTTTCTTCCTTTCCCCACCCTCCTGCTGTTCTCGGCAGCAGAGAATCGTGCGAGCGTCTGCGTGAACTCGTTAACGCTCTTTCCAGGTTCCAAAGTCTTTACAGCAAACTTGACTTTGCATCCTCGCTCGGTAGCAACTATTAAAGACAATTAGCTCCTCACATAGAAATGTGCGTTTAAAACTAAATTTGGCTGCAGTCTACCTTTGCATGTTGAAGAAAACGTGTCTGGGCTTGTAAATTGTGTGGCGTGTTTGGATGCTTGAGCTCGTTTGTTGTCTTGTCTCTCATTGTCTTTAAGGTTTTCATATTTGTCTGAGCCATAACTTAGTGTGGTGGCAGATGGAAGAACAAATGAAGTTTTGCCTTGCAGGTTTGTACAGGCTGTAAGTACGTAGCACATGGCTAATGTTTTGTGGAGCAGAGACGTAATTGCACTTCTCTTGAGGTGAACCACAGTCAACTTTATTTGTTGCAGAAAGTACGCTCATGTAAATTGTAGAAGGGACCCAAAAGGCAACATGACTCTTTAAAGCCACTGTGAGCCCACAAAAGACAATTATTCACAGAATGCAAAATTTTATTTTTAATTACACAAAAATGCACATTCTCAAAATCAAACAAAGTGTACCTGTTTGCACGTTTTCTAAATGTTTTTCTTTAACATAAAATTGGACGGTGTTCACAGTTCACTCGGGTACAATGTGTGCTTTGATTGTTTTATTATTCCCCCGTGCATGAGTGTTGGTGTTTATGAACCCATGTCTACAATTGAAGGTAAACAATTTGAATTCCTCTTGCGTTTCAGAGTGAGGCGTATCAGTTCAGCCAGGTGGAATCTCTAGGAAACTGGTATATAACGACAATTGCTTTGCAATGAAAGTTAAAAAACTGCCAATATTTGCCTCCTATCAGTCCAGATTTTTGAGTGTACCCTTACATAGTATGCTTTGTAGTCGTACACGTTATAGTTTAGACCTTGCAGAGGGCTTGAAGCGGTTTAAAACTACTACCTTGCAAGATAATACATTTTGGACATCCGTGTTTTTGTTAGTCTGTTACAACTTGAGAATAAAAGCTTAATAGATCGATTTGTCTTGTTTAATTTTTTTATTGTGTAAACTTAATACAAGTGGAACCATTGTCTCTGCAAATTACGTGTTTGTACAATGATTTAAAAAATGGCTTTAAAACGATACATCTACAAAATAAAAAATATTTTGTCAGGGAAGCAACACTACATCAGCTTTCCCAGTTCTCTATTGCTGTCCGAAGTGCTTCCAGGTTGTACTGCATCGTATTTGGTGCCACGTCTTGACTTTAGTTTCACGTTTTGGGGAGCTTTCGGAACTGGAGTTCTGAGAATAAGTTTGAGAAGCTTCCTGCTTCAACTGAAGTTACTGAACTTAAAGATGCTGACGAAGCTCCTCCAGCACGTGGAACGACACGTGCCAAACTACACGTGCAGTACAATCTGAAAACGCATCGGAGCAAGAATTTGACTGCATAGTGAAATGTGGTTATTGCATAGTTTTGCAGTGCACAAACGTAACCCCATTTGGGGTGTTTTATTGGCGGCGTTTAATGCTCGCGGAGAAGAGACTCCTGACCCGTAACCCTGCGGAGCAGCTCCAGGGCTGTGTCGCCCTGATCCAACGGAACCTGAAAGGACATGACACATTGACACGTCTACAGTACATGTGAACGTGTTCAGCTATCTTGGCAATCGATTTGCTGGATGAGGGCATACCCATTCCGGTGGGGTTTATTTGACCATACTTTACCATCGTGAGACCTTTTCCAGTACCAAAATATAACAATAGGTATTTCCCCTTTTTTTCTGGCAACATAACTGAAACCTTTTTACAAGGAATCATGTCTGCATTAACCACAATACTTGTGGTCAGAATGCAAACAAAAAACACACTGATGATAGATTTTTGTTGCCAGAAAAAAGGGGAAAAACCTATTCTCATACTTGACCAGTGCGGTTTTGCAGAAGGTGGGGAGCATAGAAACAGTACAACTGGTTTTAATGCAGTGCACTGACCTACCCGCTCAATAAGCTCCACTGGAAGGCTTGCCCCTGCCAAAGGGTTGTGGAATTTACACCATCTTTGAGTATAAACTTGAGATGAGTTCAACCCCCACAGCTAACTTGGAGCAGAAAATAAAACGTAGATGTTTTGATTCTAGACATGTAAAACTGCCTCTCGCCTCACCATGTGTCCGGCCTTGAGAATCCAGTAGAAGGTGAAGTTGCCGTAGCTCTTGTGGTAGGCCACGTTGTCGCTTGAGACGAGGGACAGGGGGCTCCACTTGAGCTCGTTGAACGCATCGAGGCCTGGCCACTTCATCTTCTGCACCCAAGACTCCTGCCCTGTAGGAGCATGAGATCAGCGTGCAGTGTCACAACCTGACCGTGATCGGACCGTGCGTGCGATGTAACTGCTCCAGGCAACGTGTTAAAGACACTACGGCAGTGCCGAATTTTTAAGACCAGCGCGCTCAACTGCAGTCGCACAACTCGTGACTTTAACATAAAATTGTTAGGAGATTGTTCATATATCTAGTATGACGTCTCGTAGATGGAATTTGTCATGAATGGCAGGCTCCATGCTGGAATACACCTGTCAGCACAGATCTGCATTACCCCTGCAGAGGGTAGAATTAGACTTTGAAATGCCTTTCACACATCTTAGCGTTCAATAACAATAGCTATAATTAGGGCTTGCCGTTACCGAGCACACAGTATAAAAGCAATATATCCCCTTCTATCACCCAATCGGTAAAACATCGATGGCGAGAGTCGTTTCAAAGTGACAGGCCTCGGTTGTCCGGGGGCCATGTGATGAAATGAAGTTTGCGGGGTTGTAGCTGGGCTGTGGGGGTCAACGGTTCCCCACCCCTTGTAACCGCGCGTCGATGTGCCTGTGTCCATGCCGGTTTTTCCCGATTGCCGGCAGTGTTTACCCAGCGTGTCCACGATGAGGTCGAGCTGCCCATTGTAGACGGTGACCTTAACCCCGCTCGACAGCAGCTCGTCGACCATGTCGATGACCGGCTTCATGAAGTCCGCTGCCATGTTCGTGAACACATCTTCCGACTGGCCTGCGGGGACACGGTCGGGTCGAATGAGTGGCCACCGAAGGCCGTCGCTTCAAGCAGGAGTGCGGAGTCTTGCTCCTTCCCGAGGGCAGAACATAACTTTGTTATACTTTCAGTGGACCTGCACGTAAGTGCACGTTATCAAAGAATAATGTTATTATGGCTTTATCCCGATATCTGCCTCCTTTCCTCTATCAGGAAGTCAATATTCACTTATAGAACCTGATTAGCGCAGCCAAGATGCTTGCGGCGACGGCTATTATTTTGGATGTGGTTGGCTTCACGTGGCCTTGGGCCGTGTGAAACGAAGTCACGGCCGTGTGTGGCCCAAGCACGGGCGACTAGACCAATTCAAACCCAAGATCTCGGCGGCACCGGCTCGGCCCTCTTGACATTCCCGCATGTTGCAGAGATTCACGGTTCGAATTCGGCGGCCGTCCTGTTCAATAGAGTGGACATTAAAGATCCCCCGACGTCTCCTGCGTTCCGCCCCTTCCATGTGGTCCCGGCGCGCCGGAATGTGGATGCTTGCAGATTTTTGTTGTATCCCGTTGTTGGAATCTCCCGGTGTCGTTTGCTGGGCCCCGCATGTTGCAAATATAAAACATTTCCCCTGACGTAATTCGCAAGTGTAGGCCAGAGTATGTCAGTGTCATCGTCCAAATTTATCGAAATAGAAACTTAAATAAATCAATTGGGACTACTCTATACATGACATTCATGGCTTCCTGCGAGTAGACTAATGCTCGTGGTCACTCTTGGGTGAAATCGCGCAAATGTAAAGCCACCTTTGTCCGAAATGCTACGTGTTAAAGATACTCATCGTGGTCTCTTGAGTTCTCACCTGATTAAATAAAATATATTCGAAACTTAAAATTGAATCTGGCCACCTCGACTAAATGGTGATGACCTCTTGGCTTTTATGAACTAAACAGGAGCGGTGTGTGGGTGCTGGGGTGTAGGTGCATCTCCAGTGGGGAGCGGAAGGGTAGCGGTTCGCGTGTTGCACGATAAACCCGGCGACCCGAGTTCGATTCCCGCTCACGGCCAACACCAGCAACGATAATCTGAATCCGTCCTGGGCCTGCCCTAGGTCGACTCTGCCTCAAATGAGTATCTGGTGCTGTGTGTGAATAAAGGCGGCCAGGCCTGGTGCTGGCCACCCACCCACCCTCGTGTTCTGTGCCAGCCTTCATGGGTGCTCGCTAACAGTACTTACCCCACCAGTCTATTCAGGCTATATGGGGGACCTTTGTTTTCATACCTCCCCACCGTACGTCCTCCGGGATGATTGCCAGCTTCTTCCGGATGGCTCCGTTCATGAGCTGGCTGAGCGCCTCCTGCTGCAAGCGTCCAACGTGAGTCTGGTAGAGTTTGGCTGCAGCAGTAAAGACGACGCACAAGTCAGGATGAGTCTCATTTGCAAGAGTGACATCACGACAAAGATCCCCTATGTAGCCTGTAACAGACTGCGGGGGCATGTGCTCTCAGCGGGTGCTTATAAAGGCCAGCACCGCACACACGATGAGTTGGTGTGGCCGGCACCGTGCCCGGCAACCTTTGTCTTTTATTAATATAAATTTTTTACCTACGTGACTTTACCGAAAAAAACTAAGAATATTAATCCTTGCAGTCACGAAAGCTTCAAATATAGAATTCAAATCTAGAACCTTTGTCTCTCCAATGTTGATGGTCTCGCACCGCACCAGGTTCTGTTTGAAGGCTGAGCCGACATTGGGGAGGTCCAGGACCGGTGCAGACTATCATCATCGATGTTGGCTGTTAGTGGGAATTGAGCTCAGGAGATCAGATGTCCGTGAAAATTAAGTAATTTGCCCAGATGTCAAGGTTTTCCAAGACACCACTCAATTAGCCATAGAACGGATTGACCTGTCACCCCAGCAACTGTCACGAATCGAGATCACAATTCATTTCAGTAATTTAAACCAAGTCTCGTTTTTTTCCCCCATTTTCTTCTACATCGCTGGTACAGTTTTGCTCATTCCATTAGCCTACATTTCACAATTATAAAGACACGATGATGGATTTGGCAGGCCTTCAGCGGTGGATAAGACGATGGCTGCTGATGATGATAATGAACATTGCAATGTGTAGTCCTGGCCACGTGAGCATTCGGTTCGACTTGGCTAAGCTCGGGTTGCACACATGGCAGAGGTCACGGTGACCATCTTCATATGGGTCCGTGATGGCACAGATCTTGCGGCTTGCTCGCTGCTGGCCACTTATGAACACAGCGCCAAGAAAAAACTCTTCATCCCATGGCCCGTTTCCCTGCGGCGAAGGCAGCCTGTTTATCACATGGTTCAGAAGTTTGGTGGACGGTTGTTATTTGTCCCATGTTGTGTAAAATGTTTGAAAATGTGTTGTGCATATGCCTGTGTGTGTACGATGATGGGCATCTGTGGAGGCTCGTGAAGAGCGCTACTGGGTAGTTGATATGGAGGCTACCGCCCCCCTCCCTCCCCCAGCAACAACAGAAGGCAGTGGAGCGAAGCTCACAACAACGAGCTGAGCGCCAGGTGGCTAAAACGCAGCAAGTTGACAAGAGTAGGCAGCACAGGTGGGGCATCTCTCATCTCAGTTAAGCCACAACACCCTGGGCTTGTATCGTGTGCCATAGTGATGTCACCACCACTTCGCATCGAATCGAATGCGAGCATTGTTTTGCACAAGTGCATTGTGGGGCGCAGTGGTGTAGCTCTTTGTGCACTCCACTACATACCAAGTGACCCGATTCAAATTCCCGGGTACGGCTATCGCCAGTGACGAGCGATATCAAGACCTGTCTTGGACGTCCCCTACATTGACTCAGGCCTCTGTACACATCAGCAGCGGGTAAACAAATGCAGTCGGGTGCCTCTTGGTTTGCTGTGCTTGCCTTGCTTGGTGCTATCAGCACTTGCCCCAACAGCCTGAGTAGGCTATTGGGGGTGGGGGAAACTTTATCAGTGTTTTTTTTTTCACCCCACCCCACTTTGCCCCATGTATACACATACCAAGTGTTTTTTTCCGTGGTTTTGTAGCAGAGGTGTCCACATAGTGATTGGTTGAGTCTTGCGTGAGAATGTTGTAGAAGTTCACTCCGTTGGTGTACTGCAGCAACAACAACAACGCAGTCTGGCATTAAGTGTAGTGCACACACTGGTAAAACATAATTTTAATTCGGAGCAAGCTGGAGGTTATTATTTGAATAGAGGCACTGGTTCATTGAACTGCGACGCATTAGTTCCAGTTTATTTAAACGCATTAGTGGAATCTTCTACGCGTAATATTTTTCTCCAAAAGAACCATCAAGTCACGTTGACGTTTAAGGCAGTCTACTGTGTGTAAATTCAGTATTTTCCTAGGGACAGAAGCAAACTTGATAACCGGATCACAAAAGCTCTGTGTCCAGAAAGTATGCATTTTTTTGTACGACTAGGTGGATACATGTGGATTAAGTGGATGGATTTATTACATTTATTGTTGCAGATATAAATAAATGCACTTAGACAGAATCACCTGGAAATGCGTCAAGTCTCATCAGATCTCAGAAGCTAAGCAGGTTTGAGGCTGCATAGTGCCCCGATGGGTGACCACCACGCACGCCTCTGGCATTACACACGTCACTACACAGTAACAACTCAATAACTCCGCTCTTTGTACTTGCACACAACAACAACTAACTTCACAGCCGCAACTCGCTTTCATTTTCATATTTGAACCTGCCGCATGTAGCGTCACGTTTTCTCTCCCACTGCACAGAATTGTCGAGTGTTTACGTGTTGAGGAATGAGTGCGATGATGGGCGCTTTATTTTGGCAGCCAATTTGCGGCCAGAAGGGCGCCACGTGTTTAAAACAAACACAAAAGTAAACAATGGACTTGACGCAAACAGGCTGTCACAGACAGTGCTATGCGGTGGCAGCAGCAATCTCCGCTCTGCCACCATCCTACTCGTCTCGCCGTCTTCACTGATTTATTTGTTTTTGGTAACTTTTTTTGCTGTTGCGTGTGCCTTTTGCTTTGGCGCGTTTTTTTTATATTTTGCTTGGCACGCGTGCGTACGTGTGAAGGGGAGCGGTGGTGTAGCGGTTAGCGCTACGCTGCGCTACGAACCCGGGGACCTGAGTTCGATTTCCGCTCACGGCCAACACCGGTGACGATTATCTGAACCGGTCCTGCGCCTCCCCTAGATCCACTCAGCCTCAAATGAGTACCTGGTGCGGTGTGTAAAAACATCGCCGCTGGGGAGACAAAGTCGGCCGGGCGTGTTGTTGGCCACCCACCCCCTTGTGTGCCGTGACGGCCTTCATAGGTGCTCGCTAACAGCACTTGCCCCAACATTATGTTAAGGCTATATGTAGGATCTTTGTGTGTGTTTGTTGGGCTTCTTTCAAGCCGTATGTAGCCCACTGCGCGAATGTGGGATTTGATCCTGATATATATAATGAATGTACAGCTTTGTGGGATGCTGTTGGCACGAATGACGCTGTATAAAATAAAAGTATTATTGTTAACCTATACCATGACCGGCGCGATGAAATATGGTCAAATTTGGCAGTTGTCATTCGTGAAGAGTTGTTGTGGCCATCACGTGCCGGCGGCATCGGGGTCCAAACTTTTGCCAACTTTTTAAAAATGACACTGCGAAAATTACTCAATTCGTATTCATGCCCACAGCAGCAACCATCGCCCCCTGCTGACAGCCGAATGCCCCAGAGTCGCTCTTGCAAACGAGACTTAAAAAAAAAAGTGTCAGTTTTGTTGCCAGATAGAAGGGTAAAAAACCAATTATAATAATTTTTTACTGGCAAATGAGGTTCCAATGGAGACTCTTCCCGTCGCCTCTCGAGCTCTCGCACGGTTAAAAGAAACGAGCACAAAACCTCCCCCGTGTCCACTCGTGGTTTGCAAGGAGCAGCAAGCGTGAGGTGGTGGGGGGCGGGGAAACGCTCACGCTAGAGATCACGTCCTCCGCCAAGGACCAGAGTCGCGTGGCGTTGGCATACTGCCCCGCGTCGTAGGCCTCCTTCACGGCGTTGGCTGCCTCCATCACCAGCTTGAGGCCCGGCTTGTCCAGCAGAGACTGCGTACGCGCACACATGTAAACGTATATGTAACACGTAGACACAAAGACCCATTCGCCCCGCCCCACTACCCCGTGTATATCCGACAACAGATTATCAGGGCAGATGATATCCGTTCTAGATTTGAAGCTTTCGTGACTGCAAGGATTCATATTTTTAGGTTTTTTCGGTACAGTCACGTAGGTAAAAATAATTTAAATTAATAAAAGTAAAATAAAATTATATTATATTATTATATTAAAATGTATAAAAGTAAAATAAAAATAATATTATATTATTATATTATTTTATTTTTATTTAACTTTTATTAAATTTTTTTACCTACGTGACTTTACCGAAAAAACCTAAGAAGATGATATCCGCTTGGCCGACTCTGTCCCCCCCACTGCTGATGTTGACACCTTGCACCAGGTTCTCATTTTAAGGCCGGCTTGTCGACCTCGGGGAGGCTCAAGACTGGTTTAGATAATCGTCACTGCACTGGTGTTGGCTGCAAGCCGGAGTCGAACTCGGTTCGCCGGGTTCGTAGTGCAGTGCACTGACCACTACCGATTCACTAGCACCTATGAAGGCTGGGACGGCACACGAGGGGGTGGGTGGCCAGCACCACGCCCGGCCGCCTTTGTCTCCCCAACCACGATGCTTACACACCGCACCAGGTACTCATTTGAGGCTGAGTCGACACGCACACATGCATGCATGCGAGTCATCACTTGGCACAGCAGACGCACCCACGATAGGGACGTCCATGTGAAATCCCTGACCAGTGACCATGGCTGCCAATTTTTAAAACAGCTCACGTTTGTACGCGTTAGCACGTGACGCAATAACAACCCGATCGTCATCGCCCGTTCCACGACAGTTTGTCCTAAAAATAGTCCACGGGGTTGCCGATGTTAAATCAGACAAAGAAACTGATTTCAGAAAAGATCATTTGATGCTGCAATCATGAATCTAAACACGTGGCTTCAAAAATATACGGGAGCTTTCAAGTCCCTGATTAGCTTGAATAATGATTACTACAGTTTAGGTTCTTAATTATTAATGAACTAAAGTTAATGCCCCGCATAACTGTGCTTATGTCTACATTTTTAAAACTGGTGTTAATGTGTATACCAAAGAGCAAATCCAACAGGAATGGGTCCAATCTCATCAGATATTACCTTTGGATAGTGCCAGGATGGGCAACCACCGTACCCATAACTTGTGTTACAGACTGTGGGGCTATGCGGTGGGCAGCAGAGGACAGTGCAAAAAAAAATCCACCGTTGTACTGTGCTTCTACGTTTCCACCTCAATGCTACACGAATTCACAAACCCATATTGGCCAGCGTGGTGAAGCAAGATCAAAGGATCCCCCCGCAACTTGTGCGTTGTCAATTGTAAGGCATCGAAGCCGTTCATAAACCCTCGTCAGTTCTTGCGGACACTGTGGCACGAACGCCCCAATTGAGCGCGAACGAGGCGAACCTTACGGTAGCGTGCAGATAGGGTCCCCAGGTCAGCACGGAGTCTGCGAAAACGAGAAGACACGAGCGTTGAAACCGGAGCTGAACGAGCATCGTTGGTGGCTCATTGGTGTCAGAGGGCACCACCGGATCGCTCGGCTCGATTAAAATGAGTTCTCATGCGGTCATGAGTTGATTTTGGATGAGTGTTTTCGCTTAGTTTGGCAATAAAAATATTGCGTCTGAAGATATCAGGTATATCGGCTCGACCGTCACGCGATGAGCGTTACCCGGTGCAGCAGGGCGTACGTGGGGAAAAGTTCCACACTTTTGTTGTGGATAAGAGGTCACTTCGCGGCATTCTCAAAAGTAGTTCTGTAATGTCTCCTTCCACGGACCGCTACCTCAACACGAGGTGATACGCTGCTGCTCTGCGAGAGCTCCAAACGGATTCTGCATCCCGTGACTTGATGCTCGGAAGCATAAAATCAGGGGGGGAAAAATCTCTGTGTAAAAATAGTGACTATTTTTTTATTTTTCCACCGAATTGGAGAAATTCAAGTGCAACCCACAAGCAGCGTGACAACGGCCGATGGGGATGTCACCAAACCATTGTCACTCGTGGGAACAGGGGCTAAACCGTTCTCCCAACCATCTTCGTGCCATCCAATTAGTTATGGGGGGGAGGGGAGAGGAGGGAAACAAATCTGACGCATATTCTCTCCACACTGACACCACTTTTGGCCTCGATGAAGGCAACGGGAGACAAATACCGAGCGGGGAAATCCACGAGTCTCCCAACGCCACTCCCTTGAAGGCGCACGTGATCTCCTTGTTGTTGATGGCCTGCGGAAGGGGGTCAGTGAGGGCGTTATCAGAATCTGTATTTAGACTGGTGGAGGAATCCGATGAGCTATGAAGCTCTTTTTCACGATGCCCAGAAGGGGAGGGTCAGCGGTAGTGGTTTGGGGGTTAAGGGGTCAGAGTTAAGTGCCGCATTGGTTTGTAAAATGTTTGTTCCCCTAGAGGGGAATTAATATTCGTTTCCACCAGAAAACATTCATCGCCTCCTACCTATCTAAACCCATAGATTAGGGTTATGGTAAAGGAATAAAGTTTCGGGTTTGGATCAAGGGATATGTGCTACAATGGTTACGATAAAGTTCGGACCAAACAGACAGTTATGAAAGTGTAAAACTCTACTGAAAGCAAACTGAGCAACCGATTCACGGACATGTTTTCTTATACAAATTTGCTTGAGATTAACGTATGGTTATTCATATTGCTCGGAATACACTCGCCAGTGGCCAGGGCACATCGCCACTGCCCCTCAATTCCATTTCTTCCTCCCCAACAACCCCTTAACAACCCGAAAACCCACGGCCGCCTCCGTTTTCGAAGCGGCAACAAATCCAACGGGCGAACTTCGGCCCTCACCTTCAGCAGCTCCAGCGAAATGGCGGCGGCCATCTTCCCTCCGTAGGACTCGGAGAAGATGTAGAAGGGGACCGTCTGCAAAGAAGGGCAAGAAAACCCCCCGGGGTCACTCTTGAGACATCTGCAAGTTGAAGCGTCGGGGTCCCGTTCACCAGCTGGATCTCGGAACACGCAAGCGGTTCAGCGTCCATTTTGTTTAGAGAGGAGTAGCGCTGCCGTTTTTAAAAGACATTTTACTGCACACTCACCGCAGAGAACTGTAGCGACACGACCGCACTCTGCGATAGCTGACACCAAACTGTGCCGCACGCATCCTCCCGCGTGGCTTTTTACTTCTGATTCCATTCGATCCCGTTCCGATGACATACACGTACATAATCGGAACGGGAGAGGGTTAACTCAGTTGGTAGAATAAATGGCGCAGGTCACTCCTGCAAGAGAAACTTTGGCCTGGTCTCTTGCGCTCTCACCTGGCTACACGTATTGCGTGATCACGAGAAATCGGTCGCGGAAGATGAGCAAGTAAACATCCACAAGCTGAACCTTGGCCTCCGTGTCTCCACTAACAAATACATTATTTAATCTAGGATTGAAGCTTTCGTGACTGCAGGAATTACTATACTCATTGGTTCTTTCGGGAAAGTCACGTATGTAGAAATAAAATAAAATACAATTTAAATAGATGACGACGTTTGGAACACAACACAAGCGCTCGTCCTCAGGTGAAAATGGCGTAAACCACACAGCGAGCGAACACACAGAGGGACATCACACAGAGAGCACACCGAGAACGGCAAACTGCTTGGAGGCAAATACATAAAGAAGATCGGAGACGCGAACTCAGCAAACCTTAGAAATATAATGCGAATGCAAACCAGTCGGCCAACAACACAGTGAGACACCAACCTGGTTGACCACGTATTTCAAGAGACTGCTAAATCTTGTGTTCATTATTTGTTGAGTGCCATCAGCCCATTGGCTTTTCAGACCAATATAATCTTTCGAGAACCAATACTATCCAGAGGCAATTGTTTAAGGAAGTGAAATCCAGACCGGTTCACATCTCCTTGTGTCAAATTAAGCATAGAACCACATTTCATGGGATGGTTTTTGGTGACTGGGCTGAGAACCTGGTTTAGTCACGGGTGGCTGAAAGCCAGAATCAAACTCACTCGGGGTCTCAAATGCTGCCGACTTAATGCTCCGACCTCTGAACAGTCACTCTTCAGACTCAGTGACTTCAGTCACAATCAGAGACTCTTTAGGCACTCTTTGGCCACTATCAGTCACGCGTGAAGGCGCTGCTTGAAAGCGTGAACCTGTCGGGAAGACGGCGGCGGGTCGCGCGTCCGACCGCGGCCCCCCTCACCTGGAACTCTTTGGCCTCGGCGAAGAACCCGGCGAGCAGCACGCGCATGTCGGTGGCCACGGTGGAGATGTTGTGCGCGTACGCGTCCTGGTAGGTGACGTAGCTGTAGCCCGTGCCCACGGGGTTGTCCACAAACAGCAGGCTGGCCGCCGCCAGCTGTGCCAGAGCACGCGCGGCAGAACGGCACACGGCATCACGACCACGGCCTCATGGCGCACGGCATCATAACCACGGCGTCACAGTGCACGGCATCACGACCATGGTGTCACGACAACGGCAGCACGGCCACGGCCTCATGGCGCACGGCATCACGACCACGGCGTCACGGTGCACGGCATCATGACCACGGCGTCACAGCACAAAGGCGTCACGGCACAGGGCGTCACTACCATGGCTTCACGACCATGGGGAGAGGGGGCAGTGGGGGTATGAGAGACGTGACCCTGAGATTTACGCTTGACGAGCCGCCGCAGTTAAATTTGCGGCAGCCCGTTGCCAAATGGGCGATTGTATGGCCCTCGAAATAAAGTCAGCTTTGCTTTGTGTGACGGATGGGTCTCGTAAAAAAGATGCTCTGTGGAAGATTTGCACTAAAAATGAGCATTGTCTGCACCAGCAAAGTTTATCTTGAGGGTGCTGCTGCTGCTGCCAAGTCACATGGTGGAGAATTATTTTTGATGTATGGCAGAGCAGTGTCATCCCTTCGTGTTAAGAAAATAATAATAATAATGCTAATTTGTAATGCGCACGACTTTCACTTGCCCGAATGGCAGAGACCCTGAGACGCGGAGCCCAGCTCAGAGACCCGTTTCGTAAAAGTCCAATAACAGAGAGATGTTGTTTGAGAAGGCGCTTAGGGGTAGGTAAGGAATCAGCGCTGCGGAAGTGGAGGGGGATGGCGGCGTTCCAGGTGGAGGCGCCGAGAACAGAGAAACGATGCGTGGCGATCGTGGTCCCGACTCTCGGTGTCGAGAGTAACTCCTGGACAGAGCTACGGGGAGTTCTGGTGGTGGTTTGGGGGCAGGGCGTCAGGAGGTCCGAGAATACTCAAATTTACGCGAATAATGTGACCGAGACCCATTAACTCAATCCATGTCGTCACAGGTGGTTGAAAATCAGACTCGAAGTTGGGGTTTCAGTGGTGCCAGACCAGTAAATGCAGCAAACAATGCCCCTTCTTCTGAGCAGAAAAAAGCCAACCAACTTGACAGACCGCGCTGAGCAAAGCCGAGTAAAAGTGTTTCATTGATTTGCGTGCTTTTATCCTCACCCATGTGGTGTTCCGTGGCTGTAAGTTAATATCCAGCGGCCCGATCTCCTCAAAGTTCCCGAAGCCAGTGCCGGAGGCCCCGGGTCCACCCTGGGGTGAGCGGAGATATCGACACGGCACACACGGGCAAGGGGCTGTGACGCTCACAGCTCCAGACAGATGGATTCAACCCACTGCTGCAGCATGATCATAAAAACACCCGATGTCCCTAGGCAATGCCAATCATCCCTCTGCATGTCACGTTTAGGGCACCACAGTGACGAGATGCAAACTGCCTCGCCTGGTATACAGACCGTGGGTTCAATCGCAACCCAGACACCTGCATATTTGGAGTTTGCATGTTCTCCCCGTGGTCGCGTGGATTTTTCTCCGAGTCCTCCGGTTTTCCCTCCACATTTAGGAACGTGTGTTTAGAGTATTTGGCGGCTATACATTTACACCTCATAAGCCACTTCGTTGAGATATCATGTATGGACAGGTCGCTTCTGAAAAAGAGCTACATAGCTCAGTGGACCTTACCTGGTCAAATAAAAAATTGTTTATATCGAGATTTGAAGTTTTCGTGACTGCAGGGATCCATACTCTTTGGTTCTTTCGGTAAAGTCACGTAGGTATAAAATAAAATAAATCAAATCACGACGTTTCGGGAGCAACGCAAGCAATCGTCATCCGTTATCAGGTGGGACAACCACAGCAAGAAACAACTGCAGCAACCACAAAGAGTATTAAGAGTTCATAGTTTTGTAGCGTGCGTGTCTGTGGAGACGGAGTGGACAAGATGTGATACCTGCAGCCACAGGACCAGGGGCTGGACACTGGCCTTCTTCGATGGGTACAGCCACCAGAACATCTTGGCCTGGGGGCGGATCGCCACATAGCCCCATTTTTCCTCGCCACTGCTCATCGCCGGGGCTCCTGCGGTGGGTCGGGGTCAGGGTGGAGGTCAAGCATTAAGGTCAGGTTCATGTTTATAGTATCAATAGAGATGCAGCGGTCATCATCAATCGTGTGTCCTCAACTGGACAAAGGCCTCCCCAAGCCGTTTCCGACGGCCATGCGGCGCGACGATCCAATCTGGCTCCTGCGTTCGAGATGATTTCACGCAGAAATAACAAGACTTGCGATGCTGCACCAGCAGCAGTGCACGGGCACAAATAACAACGACTCAACAGATTACGCGTGTGCTCCCTCGTTAGGGGAGATGTTAATGAACAAAAGTTCCAACTGCAAAGCTCCATCTCCATGGAGGACGTCCTCTCGGACGGGTTCCCTCCTTTGGCCACCGTGCCCCATCATCTCTGACCTCATCGTCGAATACAATTATACCCACGCGAGCGGTCTTATGACAGGGGTGGTGGAAATTCCTCGTTGCTATGACGGGGGCCCTTTCTGAGACCTTTTGGACAACGTTTACGGTGCGAGTGTGCCCCAATAATAGTAAAGTACACGCGTGTCGCTCACTCACGTGGGCTCAGCGGAGAAAGAGTAAAGCCGAGGCGACGGGTAGATGGGTAGAGGGGTAATGAGTTGCATTGGGTGCGTTACGGAGGCCCAGATCAGGTGATTGCATTGTTTATGACAGCCATCAGCACAGACCGTGGGCGCTTGTTACCGAGTTGTATTATTAACAGAATGCACGACTCGGCAGCTTGTTTGGTTCAGCTCAAAACAAAATGCGAGTTAATTAGTAATCAATTGGCACGTTTGCCCACGTGACACCTTTATTCATTGGTTTGCTGTGCCGGGTGGAGGACGGTGTACGACACACACTTTACTCACACGGCGATTTGATCCGCAAAATCAATTATGAATCAATTATGAATCATCGAAAGTCTGCTAAATGTTAAATGCACCTATACAGCCTTTTCTCAATCCACTGCTGGATGAGTTCCATCCCACGCCACGTGCAAGGGGTTATTCTGACCATAACTTCACCAGGCTGGCCGTCGCGGATTTGGTGAAGGAGGCATAGATGTACGTGGGAGCATAGACGTACGGTACAACAATGGATGTTTGCTGCGCTGCCCTCCGATTGCATGCAACGTAGCCTCACAGCACCTCCGATTAGCACGGTTGGCTACGTACGGTGCGAAAGAAGTTCAACATGCATCCATACCTGCCGCTGTACATGACCGAAGCTAAGCGGGGGCGAGACTGGAAAGTGCTTGGATTGGGTGACCAACAATGCTTAGAAACAGGTTGGTATCGGCAGCAGAGGGTGGTGCAGCAAAATTCATTCATTCGACTCCACTATGCTCCCACGGCGAATTCATTCCCTGCCTTTGCTCGCGCACTGACGAGTGAGTGGTGAAGCATGGTCAAATAATTATTGTCATGATGACGATACAAACAAAAATCTATTATAAAAGCCCGGCGTTCCGTTTGTCCGTCAACTAAATTACAAGATTCTAGATTTGAATCTTTCGTGACTGCAAGGATTCATATTCTTAGGTTTTTTCGGTAAAGTCACGTAGGTAAAACATTTAAATTAATAAAAGTAAAATTAAATAAAAGTAAAATAAAAATCACGACGTTTCGGAGGCAACACAAGCTTCCGTTAAGTGATACAGCAATCGTGCTGTGACAGTTCCACCTGAAGACGGAAGCTTGTGTTGCCTCCGAAACTGTCGTGATTTTTATCTCATTTTAATTTTACTTTTATTAATTTTAATTTTTTACCTATATGGTGACTTTACCGAAAAAAACCTAAGAATATAAATTACAAGAGCCTTTCAGAAGGCCTGAATCAAAAAGTTACATGAAAGTAGGACCCCCCCCCATCTCCCTCCTAGATGTGGGGGTGAAAAGTTGATCCAACATGTTTTAAAAAAATTATCGTGATTTAAATGTGTAAGTCATCCCACGAGATTCGCTCGCTTTCGTGCGGAGAGACAGGACGACTCTTCCGACCACAGAGATGCGGACAGTAGCCACGTGGTGAGCCGGCGCCGACAATTGTCCAAGCTCTGCGGTCCTCTATGGGTTAAGGTGTTAGCGGCCGTTTAATGGGGGAGGAAACCGGAGCACCCGGAGAAAACCAACACGTGCGAGGGGGAAACACTCGATCCCATGCAGTCGAAACTGCTGGTGGATCACCACAGGGCTGGATTATGGGCGGCCACGTACGTATCCACCAACGCACAGGCAATGATCGGCAAGAGCTTTTGACAAAAAAAGCGGAACACACTCGTAAATAACACCACCGCCTTTAAAAAAATATATCAAGAGAATATAATAGGTGACGTTTCGGGCAATGAACCTTCTTCACATCACACACGACGGTCAAGAGAGGTTGCTCATGCACCACTCCCAACGCAGCATCACCAAATAATTCGCTTAAGTTGCACAATGCAATGGAGGATTTTTTTCTGGAAAACATCAAAGTATATATATATATTTTAAAATGTAATTTAGATTTAGCCAGACTTTTGCTTGGGGGGGGGGGGAGAGGGTTGGCAGCGGTACTGATGTGGTTGTGATGCTGCGTTACGAACGCACCGACCCGCGTGACGAAAGTTTGAACCGGGTCTTGGGCCCTCCCTAGGTCGACTCAGCCTCAAATGAGTGCCTGATGCGATAAGAAGGCGGCCGGGCGCGGTGCTATCGGCCACCCAACCCCCATTCGTGTGCCGTGCGGGCAATAATAGGCGCTCGCTGACTGCAATTGCCCCAAAAAAGTCCGTTACAGCGAAACGGGAGGAGAGCTTTGTCCTTTTGTTATAGGATTATGACATAGCCGACGAGCGTGTGATGAACGCGTATGTATAGGATACGAGACTGGGGTGGGGGAGGGTAGTGTCGTGGTTAAGCCGCGCTGCGCTACAACCCACGGGCCTCCCGAATTCAATCCCCGCACGCGTCCCCCCGAACACCGGTGACGATTCGTCTCGTCTGGACCGTTTCTGCTGCGCCTCCCCCCCCCCCCCCGGGGGTCGACTCGGCCTCAAATGTTGTTAAACATCGCCACTGGGGAGACAAAGGCGGCCGCGCGTGGCGGTGCCGGCCGGACCGTGCGCACGCTTCCTCGTTGTGCCGTGCCGGACTTTCGATCGGCGCAAGCAAAGAGCACCGAAAAACCAAGTATGTTTACAGCCACCCGGTGGATCTTGTTGTGTTTGGTTTGGTTTGTGAGCCGCACTGACCCGCACATGGCCGCACCGGCCCGAGCAGCACCGCGAGGAGCGTGGCGAGCAGCGGTGGCACCACGAGGAGGAGGAGGAGACGGGGGGTCCGAGGCGCGGTGCGCTCCATCGCTGCTGCGCTCACTCGGGTCGTGCGCTCCGTCCTCGGCGGAGGGAGCAAAAAGCGCCGATCAGCTGCTTGTCACGAGGAACGTGCGGAAGAAGGAAGGAGGCGGCACGTGGTGGTGGTGGGGGGAAGACCAAGCGAGTGACCTCAGCACGTCGGTGCGTGATGACGGCGGCGATGTTGGAGTTTGGGGCGGTGTTGGAGTTTGGGGCGGTGCTGCCGCTGATGGAGGGGAGGCGTGGGACGGCACGGGGTCTGATCGGCTGTGGGGGTGACTGGTGGGAGGGGGGGAAGAGTCGCGTAGGGTGCGTGGAGAGAGGTGGAGAGAGACAGAGTGAGAGAGAGAGTTCAAGCTTGAGACAGCGAGCGCGCATGGCGGGAGGGAGTGAGCGAGTTTTCGCTCCTCATTATCCTCCTCCCCCTTCTCTTCTCCATCCTCGTCCTCCTGTTGCTCTCCCTGCTACCGCCGCCGCCGCCACTGCTGTTGCCTCCGGCCGGCAGGGATGGAGGTGGGGCCGCGGGGCGCTCTCTGGGACGTGTTCTCCGCGTGCGACGAAGACGGAGATGGCTGGGTGGACGTGGGGCACTTCGTGAGACTCGCGGCGTCTCACCTGCCCAGCGAACAGGAGGTGAGCGCACCTGGTACAGGGGGTCAAACCCTGACATCCTCACCTTTACCGGTGACTCACATAGCCAGCTGCTCACCTGCTTAGCCACTCACCTGGCCAGTGAACAGGTGAGCGCACCTGGTACAGGGGGTCAAACCCTAACGCCCTCACCTTTACCGGTGACTCACATAGCCAGCTGCTCACCTGCTTAGCCACTCACCTGGCCAGTGAACAGGTGAGCGCACTTGGTACAGGGATCAAACCCTGACGCCATCACCTTTACCGGTGACTCACATAGCCAGCCGCTCACCTGGTTAGCCAATCACCTGCCCAGTGAACAGGTGAGCGTACCTGGTACGGGGATCAATCCCTGACATCCTCACCTTTACCGGTGACTCACATAGCCAGCCGCTCACCTGGTTAGCCACTCACCTGGCCAGTGAACAGGTGAGCGCACCTGGTACAGGGATCAAACCCTGATATCCTCACCTTTACCGGTGACTCACATAGCCAGCCGTTCACCTGGTTAGCTACCCACCTGGCCAGTGAACAGGTGAGCGCACCTGGTACAGGGATCAAACCCTGACGCCCTCACCTTTACCGGTGACTCACATAGCCAGCCGCTCACCTGGTTAGCCACTCACCTGGCCAGTGAACAGGTGATCGCACCTGGTACAGGGACCAAACCCTGACGCCCTCACCTTTACCGGTGACTCACATAGCCAGCCGCTCCCCTGGTTAGCCACTCACCTGGCCAGTGAACAGGTGATCGCACCTGGTACAGGGACCAAACCCTGACGACCTCACCTCACAGGTGATTTACCTGGCCAGCGAAGTTCGTAGACCCACGCGCGCTGCCGTCAGGTGTGGCGTTCAGTGTTTGGTGTCGACTTCGGTAACTAACACCCTGTGCGTCCATATTCCTCTGTGGTGTATGCTTTTTGTATGGACACTGTGTCCCTATGTGTGTACATGTTGCGGTGTGTGAACATCAGTACTGGGGAGACAAAGGCGGCCGGCCCGGGGTCCTGTCCACGCCGCTCCCTTGTGTGCCATCGCGACCTTAATACGTCCCTGCAGACATATCCGTGCACACACACACACACAAGAGTTCACACACTTTACACATTCATACACCTGCCCCGGTAGTCTGTAACAGGCTATAATGCGGATCATTTTATGTGTGTGTTAAGTGTATGTGTGTTCATTCCGTGTCTGTGTGTGGGGAGCGGTGGTGTAGCGGTTAGCGCGCTGCGCTACGAACCCGGCGACCCGGGTTCGATTCCTGCTCACGGCCAACACCGGTGACGATTATCTGAACCGGTCCTGGGCCTCCCCTAGGTCGACTCAGCCTCAAATGAGTACCTGGTGCGGTGTGTGAAATATCAGCACTGGGGGGACAAAGGCGGCCGGGCGTGCTGCTGGCCACCCACCCCCTCGAGTGCCGTGCCGGCCTTCATAGGTGCTCGCTAACAACACTTGCCCCAACAGTTTGGTGAGGCTATACGGGGGCTCTTTGTCTTTGTTTTGTATGGGGGGAGTGACAGTGCAGCGATTGGTCCACTGCGTTAACCAAACCCTCGCGAGCCAAGTTCGATTCCTACTCGTTCCCAACATCAGTGACAAATATTTGAACCGGTTCTGGGCCTCCCCCCGGTCGACTGAGCCTTAAACACAATCCCTGGCACGGTGTGTAAACATTGGCACTGCCACATGTACCCGTACGTAGCCAACCACCTCCCTCATCTGCCAGGTTGGCGTTCAGAGTTGCTCGCTATGCAGCACTTGCCCCAGCAGTCTGTTAGAGGCTATCGGGGGCATCTTTGTATTGTGTATGCACGCTCATTGTGTGTGCACTGTGTATCACTTTGCTCGCTGTGTCACGACAGTCAGGGTCCGGTGTCGCGTGGGAACCCTAGAAGGTAGAGAGGAACGCTCTCTGGTATTGCCCGTGCGGGTTCATTCCTCTGTGTTTTTGCAAGTCTCTTCTTTCTATAATTTTTTTACAAAACTCAGCAACCGGTACCGCCCGCACACACAACGAATACTACTGCAGTGCTACTTTTATTTGACCAGGTAATGCTCACTGAGCTGTACACCTGTACAGTGCTTGTTTTTTTTTCAGAAGCGACCAATACACGCCCAGATGTCGAGACACAGTGTGTCATTTGAACAACGAATCATCATAGTGATATAATTTTAACTTAGTTTTTTTGTTAAAGACGCACGTGATGACCTTCTGTTAGGCATTAATGTTTACATTTTCCGCACCTCCGATTAGCACGGTCGGCGACGTACGGTGCGAAAAAAAGTTCAACATAGATACGAACCGGGATCCCCATTACGTAAGGGTGGAAATGACCCTTGCCGATAACATCTGGCACTACGCTGACAGTGGTTGAAGCAAGGCTGACACTGCTGATGAGACGCTGTCTGTGGAAACCGGAGCAGAGTGTTGCTCCCATGGATGGATGCAATGCTGCCCAAATTATTCAGCACTCCAAGACAAATGTTGTGTAGTTGAAGGGAAGTGTAAACATATAAATACGTTTTTTTGTTCTATGTTGACGGATCGATGTATGAAGCAGACTGTTTGTGGGCTTATTTAAGTGATTAATTTGTTTTCTTGGTTCTTTCGGTAAAGTCACGTAGAAGGGAAATAATAAAATAATAAAAATAAAACATAATAAAATAATTCTCACGACGTTTCGGCCACAACGCAAGCAGCCGTCCTCAGGTGAAGACCAGGTCTGTCTACGTGACTTTACCGAAAGAACCAAGAAGATGAATCCCTGCAGTCACGAAAGCTTTAAATCGAAATGTATAATTTGTGTTACGCGTTATGACCAATTGTACATTTGACTTTTGGGAAGCCTTCATCTGGTCGTGGATTGAAGTGTCTTTTGTTTTTTTTTTTATTCTTGGCCGAAGTACTATGTCAACCAATTAGCACCGTGAATCATATACAACATAAACAATGTGTCCTACTCTTTGGTTTTTCGGTAAAGTCACGTAGGTAAATTTTGCTGTGACGGTTCCACCTGAAGACGGAAGCTTGTGTTGCCTCCGAAACGTCGTGATTGAATTTATTTTAAAAAAATTACCTACGTGACTTTACCGAAAAAACCAAAGAGTATGAATCCTTGCAGTCACGAAAACTTCAAATCTAGAAACAATGGGTCCTCTTCCGTTGCTAGAGAGATAAATGCTCATGCAAATCCCGACGTGTCGGCTCGTTTCCATCCTACGCTGCGACGTCAATTCATGGTACGTTCAGTGATTCCTGGAGGTGTCAAACCCATTCTAACCGATTCTACAAATATGCCACATTTAAAAAAAATCTAAACCAAACCGTAAAGATAATCGCCTTCAAATCGACGCCCAAATCGTCTTATTGGGATGGTGCCGAAAGGTTTACTGAGGTTTGATGTTGGCCTGCTTTCTGGACCTAACCATGAGTAGCAGATCCAGTGATGGCAGTTGAAGTCATCACAGAAGTTGAATGAGCAATAACATCAAATATGAATAGAAGACAAATGGTTTGGTGATGCTGCTGTTGCGTTGGCAGTGGTGAACGAGCACCACCACTGCCAAGGGACATTGCCCGAAACGTCACCTGTTGTTTTTTACTGTAAAGGCCACAGTTATGACGAATTTGTCGGGTTTTTTTTGCAATTCTATTAATAGTACAGTGCTCATACCAATAATATAGTAACAACAGCATTTGGGTGGAGCTGTGGCGCAGTTGTTAGCGCACTGCACTCTTGACTAAAACACCCGCCCGACCTGAGTTCAATTCCCGGCCGCAGCGAACATCAGTGGCTCATGATGTCAGAACCGGTTCTTGTCCCACGCGACCTTGACAAACCCGCACAGACCCAGCATGATGAATTTGGTCACGCAGTCCTGGCGACAGACGGGTCCTTCATCCATCAGTGGATTGGGACTAGCACACAGAGACACGGTCTGTCGGTAGCTGAAGTATTCGAGTCGCCAGTGTCGTGTTGACGCTGCGAGTGGTTGGCCCATGTAGGCATAGGTGGGCACAGGTAAGCACAGGTGGGCAAAGGTGGGCATAGGTAGGCACAGGTGAGCGAGGGGCTGGGCCTCTTGCCGGAAGTAAACGAAGCACAGAACCTGTTTCTCGAGCAACGAATGACGTGCTAACGCCTGTGGCCATTGCACATGTACGTGGATACCTCTCTTACAAAGAAAGTACTCATCACACACGCACTGTCAGTAACACACAAAGACATCAACTGATGTGTACACACAAAGACAACGACTCATGTGTACACACAAAGACAACTGCCACACACAAAGACACACGTAGGCACAGAGACATACAGTACGCATTGAGTCACACAGACACAGAAAAACACAGAGACACACATGCACGAACACATAAAGACAAATATTCCCCGTGTAGCCTTAACAGACTGCTGGGGCAAGTGCTGTTAGCAAGCACCTACGAAGACCGCCTTTGTCTCCCCAGTGGCGATGCTTTTACACACCGCACCAGGTACTCATTTGAGGCTGAGTCGACCTGGGCGGTGCTCATGACCGGTTCAGAAAATCGTCGCTGGGCTGTTGGCCGTGAGCGGGAGTCGAACTCGGGCTGTCGAGCAGCAGCTACCGACCGCTCCACACCCGTGAAGACACTCAAACAGAAACCTTAGGCCCAGCGGGCGTGATGAGTGTTTGAGTGAGAGAATGCGCAGCAGGGCACGTCGAGTGGCCGTCTGAGTGGTGTTTTGGGTCGTTACCGCCCTTTAGGAGGCTTCAATATTGAGACACGAAGCGAGCCCGACTGCCATATGAAGCAGCTGATCGCACTTGTAAGACGTGTGCGCTGTGTGTTTGTGTTCTTGTGAGTATTGTGCGTGTATCTTTGTGTGCGTGTGTCTGCGTGCTTGTCTTTGTGTGTGTGTTTCTTTTTATTTTGTCCTTGAGTGTCTCTGTTTTGCGTGTCTTTTTGTGTCTACGCGCTTGTGTGTGTGCACTGCGCTTCCAACTCGGCCGCCAACCAGAGTTCGATTCCCAATCACAGCCAAAATAACAGTGGCGAATAGTTGAACCGGTCCGAGGCCTCCCCACGGTCGACTCAGCCTCAAATGAGAACTTGGTACGATGAACAGTGGATAAACATCGGCACTGGGGAGACAAAGGCGACCGGGCGTGGTTTTGGCCACACCTCGTGTGCCTTAATAGGTGCTCGCCAACAGCACTTGCCCCACCAGTCTTTTGAGACGATACGGTAGATCTTAGTCTTGCGTTGGTGCATTTCCAGTCACTCTAGCCAGTGAACTCACAACATCCGTGCGTGTGTCCCGTGCCCTCCTGTCAGCCAGCGAGCCTACGCCACTCCACGTGGCCTCAAATGTGCACCTAGCCTGGCACGTGCGCCGGGGCGACGTCCCCGCCACTTGCTTGGTGTATGAGAATACGTTTAATATTTTTTATTGCTGTTGTTGGTGTTGCGTGTCGGATGGAATTTGGTTCATTCCTGAGCCATTACTTTCTGGCGGCAGATGCTCAACTGCCCACACCCTCGCTGATGAAACCCGGCGAAGTTGAAACTGTTCCAGGAATGTTGCCTGCGGCTTAAAAGAAACGCGGCTGCAAAACGCTGGCTCGGAAGGCTGATGGACTGAAACATTTTGTTCGAAAGTTTATGTTTACGTGGCCAAGCTATAGCTCGTCTCGTTGTTAACGAGCGAATTACGGATAGATTGCTTGTGGGGGATGGGGCGGGGGGGTTACTGGACTCCGTAGGGTCTTAAAGACCTCGACGCACGGTCCGATTTTACGCTCGGACAGTCGCGTAACGCGGCCCGTTGGCACGGGCCCCTGGGCGCAGCCGATGGAGTGGGGGGCTCTCCTCGTGGTGGCCCCGCTGGGCCCATGGGCCCCCGTGCAGTTGCAGCGCCTGCACACTCGCCAGCTACGCCACTGCTCTCCAACCTCTCTCTTCCATCACATAGCCTCTCCTCTCCCGTCTCACCTTAAACTCTCCTGACTCTTCCCCCTGCCATTGTTTTCTGTTCGTCACTCTCCTCCTCTCTGCCACTCTCTTTCCTACCACTGGCCGTCTCTCGCCATCTTATTCCAATTCTCCTCGATCGTGCCCTCGGAAACCTTATCGCCCTTTAAAGGACTTCTTCAGCGGAGATTTCGGACGTCACCCCAAGGTCAACTAAAGAGCACAAGGGCTGGGAGAGAACGAGAGGGTGGAGGAGAGGGGCGGCGGTGGCTTTTGCCCGGCACTATCTGTCCCTGTCCTCCTAACTTCTCTCTCTGTCTCTCAACTCCATGTGGATGTTCTCTGTCTCTCAACTCCATGTGGATGTTCTCTGTCCCTCAACTCCATGTGAATGTTCTCTGTCTCTCACGAGTGCTCTGCTGCTGTGGCGCTCGCTTCAGCCCAAAAAAAAGTTCGGGGCGGTTCCGCTCCATCGGTCGCTTTTGTTCTCGCTCACCGCGAGCACTGGAGCGTAACGAGCCGACCTGGGGTAGGGTGGCAGATTTGGGGAGTGGTGGTGGTGGTGGGGCGATCTGGGGGAGGGGTGTTGGGGTGGGAGGTCTGGGGGATGGGATGAAATGCGCTCGGATGGCAGAGAAAATAAAGGATGAAGGGGAAAGGGGGGAGGGAGAGGGGTCAGGGTGGGCTTAGGGTTCGTCTAAGCCTCTCCCCCCACCAGCCGGCATTCCCGAAGGAATGCGATTCGCCTTGTCCCGCACTTTCATGGTGTCCGTGTGTCTTCTCGGTTCGGGTTGTTCGCGTTGTTGGTTCTGCACATTCGGACGGGTTGGTTGTTCTGCTCGTGCAGTTGAACACGATACGGCCCCTCTGTTCTCAATCCCACTGATGGGCGACTATGATTGCCTCTCCACCACAACCACGCTGCTGCTGGTGGTGCTTGTTTGATCATTGCCCTGCACTGCGCCACGCCGCTCAGCGCGGGTTGCTCTGAAGGATTGGTCAGCCCCAGGACAGGTTCAGATATAATAATAATTTACTTAAATCTTGACTTAAAGCTTTCGTGGCTGCAGGGATTCATATTATTGGTTCTTTCGGTAAAGTCACGTAGAAGGGAAATAATAAAATACTATTAATATAAAACAAAAATCTTCTTGGTTCTTTCGGTAACAGGCGACAGCGCCTCGACAGACCTGGTCTTCACCTGAGGACGGCTGCTTGTGTTGTGGCCGAAACGTCGTGAGAATTATTTTATTATGTTTTATTTTTATTATTTTATTACTTCCCTTCTACGTGACTTTACCGAATGAACCAAGAAGATGAATCCCTGCAGTCACGAAAGCTTTAAATCGAAATAAAACAAAAATATTATTTTATTATTCCCCTTCTACGTGACTTTACCGAAAGAACCAATAATTGACTTATTTATCCAGAAGAGTCGTAGGACTCTTTTTCAGGAGAGACCCGCTGCTACATTGGGTTGTTTTTGCTTCATTTGTAAGATGCTTGAAGCCAATTAACGATGAGTTTGCGTGTTATCCACACCACGTGGGAAAGAAACCGGAGCACCCGGGTAAAAACCCATGCCTTGCACGAGGCAGGCAACACTCCAGCCCCCGTACAGATGGCAACAGCTGGCGATTAGTCCACTTGCCGTACTGCCTTCTCACGGGCGAGCCAGGGTACGGCACCATCCTCGACATCCACGGGAAGGGAGTTTCACAACATTCGTGTTCGATCCATCAACCCGCGCCTTGCACAGCGCTGGATTTACAAGGCCCGTGCGCCACCATTTCCCCCAGCTGGTATCGCTCGCCACTGATGTTAGCCGTGGCTGGGAACCCATAGCTCATTCCCTCGTGTAACGCGCAGGGCAAATAGGTGCTCGCTAACAGCACTTGCTCAAACAGTCTGCTAAAGCCTGGAAGGGGTAGGGGGGTGTCTTTGTTTTTATTACACGTGCATGTCTACGAACGCGCGTGTGTCTCTCTATGCATACTCGATGTGTCTGCGTGTCCTCGAAAACAGCACTTGCCCCAAACGTCTCGCAAGGCTATAGGGTGATCTTTGTCTTTGTGTGACTGCAGGCGGTTGCCCTGGGGAGGCTGCTGGACCCCAAGGGGCTGGGCCTGATCGACTTCGACGCCTTCTGCCGCGGGGTCTCCGCGTTCGGAGGAGGTAGAGGAGCGACTCGCCTCTTCACTCAGAACTTCCACCTCTTCACTCCCCTTCTCTCCTCTGCACTCACCCTCCTACCTAGTCACTCGCCCTCCCACCTCGTCACTCAACTGCTGACCCCTAAACTCGCCCTCCCACCTCTTCACTGACCTCCTGACCCCTAAACTCGCCCTCCCACCTCTTCACTCACCTCCTGACCCCTAAACTCGCCCTCCCACCTCTTCACTCACCTCCTGACTCCTAAACTCGCCCTCCCACCTCGTCACTCACCCCCTGACCCCTACACTCGCCCTTCCACCTCTTCACTGACCTCCTGACCCCTAAACTCGCCCTCCCACCTCGTCACTCACCTCCTGACCCCTAAACTCGCCCTCCCACCTCTTCACTGACCTCCTGACCCCGACACTCACCCTCCCACCTCTTCACTGACCTCCTGACCCCGACACTCGCCCTCCCACCTCTTCACTGACCTCCTGACCTCTACACTCGCCCTCCCACTTCTTCACTGACCTCCTGACCCCTAAACTCGCCCTCCCACCTCTTCACTTACTCGGCAGGCAGCTGTCTCGTGCGGTTTCAATTTACCGCAAAGCGAGGGAACACCTGTACGCACGTCAAACTTCTTTCGCACCGCACGTAGCCAACCGTGCTCATCGGACGTGCGTCCGTAATTGACACGACGGTCCGATGTAGCCGCCTCCCCCAGCTCTGCCTCTGGCCCAGGCCTCCTCCTTCGCGAGTTTAGGATGCTCACCGCGTGCGGATTAAGTCCGCGCTCCTGTGAGTATAAGCGAGGCACGCCGGGGGGGGGGGGGGGGGGATTTGGGAAACAGCGGCGAGACACGGTGGGGTGGGTGGGGGAGCTCGCTCAGCAACCCCGATCACGCAGAGCTGGAGAGGCCCATTAAAACCGTGCGCCTCTGTGTGTCTCTTTGCAAATTTGTGTGTCTCTGTGCCCCTCTGCGCATCTCTATACGCACCTTTGCATCCGCGCATCACAAAGGGAAATCTGCTCCACTACTGTTCCAACACCCGCCTGGCTGCGAGGTGGCCAGGAGATGGCAGTAGTATAGCGAGTGGATTCTGGGATCCATCTGTGTGGAGATTTCGAGTGTTCATGATATCTTATTCTCTAGATCCTGCGGGTTCGAAGTATCCCCAATGGCAGCAACCTCCATCAACTGAGTCTTGAGGCTCCGTGAGTCTTTCCAGAGATGGAGCGATGGTGCAGTGGTTAACACACTGCCCCTACCCTATGAACCCGGTCGATTCCCGGCCCTGGCCAACATCGTTGGCGAGTGATATCGGAACCGATCCTGGGCACCCCCTTCATCAACACGTGTCATCAAACGTTCGTACGTGTGGGCCATGTGACCGGCCAGAGGGGCGGAGCAACAAATCATTTTAGAGAGGCAGGAGGAGATGGGGGATGGGGGATGGGAGAGCGGAGGAAGGGCAGCGGGGCAGGGTGGTTAATGTAGAGGGGGGGGGGGCAGGGTGGTTAATGTAGAGGGGGGGGGCAGGGTGGTTACTACAGAGGAAGGGCAGGGAGCAGGGTGGTTAATGTAGGGGGGGGCAGGGTGGTTACTACAGAGGAAGGGCAGGGGGGCAGGGTGGTTAATGTAGGGGGGGGGCAGGGTGGTTACTACAGAGGAAGGGCAGGGGGCAGGGTGGTTAATGTAGGGGGGGGCAGGGTGGTTACTACAGAGGAAGGGCAGGGGGGCAGGGTGGTTAATGTAGGGGGGGGCAGGGTGGTTACTACAGAGGAAGGGCAGGGGGCAGGGTGGTTACTATAGAGCCGTGTCAACATGAAGTGGGGTTGGGGGGTGCATGTGGAGTTGGGGGAAGAGGAGCCATGGAGACACAGCGACGCAGAGAGGGAGAGACACACGGGAACGCAGACACGGATGACTGCGATAGATGTGAAGCTGCGGCCAGACACGGAGAAATACGTGGGGACGAACACAGAGACGTGGTGAAAAGAACACACCACTGTGGTGATTCCTACACACGTGGTCGCATCCACGCGTGCAAGCGTCGCGAAGCTTCGAGGACCAATATTAATCGGTTGTGAATTGATGCGTCTTTAAAATCAATTCGCATTCACCACCTTTTCATGTACAGCTCAGCTGAGTCTGACACCCGCGTGGCCACTGACGGTGGATTCCGGCTACAGCAATGAGTAGTCTTCGTGTCTGCAGTGGCGGACGATTAGGCACAGAGGCAATGATTTATTACGTGTTATGTATTATTATTTTTACGTGTGCTGCGATGTTAACTACCTCGCCTGTTATACAGGAGATCATGGTTTCGATCCCGCACCTGACGCTAGTATATTTGGAGTTAACGTGTCTCTCTCTCCCCATGGTCACGTGTACTTTTCTCTGGGTCCTCCGGGTTTTTCTCTCCAACTTTAGAATCAATATTTGGCTGCTATAATTTTCCACATGATGAGCCACTTCGTTGAGCTATCATCTTTGGCCAGATTCGATCTGATAAAGAGCTACATAGCTCAGTGGGCCTTACCTGGTTAAATAAAAATTGTTTAGTTTATTACCATCTTTTTCCAACACAAACGGTTCCTTTTAATCAATGTGCAGTTCACCAGCAATTGCCTTAAGCAAGGCTGACTGCTGATGAGACAATGCATGTCGAAACCGGTCCAGAGTGTGTTTGCATTCAACCGATGCTGCTGAAGAGATGTACACCCAGGAGGCCGTGCGCCCAATATGACGCGTATTTTTTGTATATATATGCGTAGAGACAAATATGGGACTAGGCGTGATGTCTGCTTATTTTTTCGTCACAGAATGAACGTCTGGCCCTCCTATCGCACGACTCTTGGGGTACTTATCGATTAGGTGATTTGGAGTCTCAACATGGGCTGCTACTGGCACGATACGGGGAACGCCAACTAGGGCTCTGTGGCCACGTGGCTCCTCGCTTACCCTGGGTTTGACCCTGTTTGCCGTGGTCGCCTTGGTCTTGTTCATATTATTCATGCTTTAGTTTTTTGCTTGTTGCGGTTGCACCCGATTCAAGAGCCGAATGGCTCACATGGCTACACCAAATAAATGAACTTGAAACTTGTCTTGGATCTAGAGACCCTCGTAGGCCTCGTGTCTGCACGGAGCGGCCGTGACTGTCGAGACTTGGAGATCGGCAAGAGCTCCCTCGGGAGCTTTCCCAGGAGGGACCCCTGGCAAGGGGCTTCCAACGAAACTCGGGAGTCGGAGGGAGCCCTGGGAAAGGGAGCTCACCAGGGGGCTTTGCGAGGAGGGACGTTAGGTGTTGATGTCGGAGGGCTGTTGCTGATACGGGCTGTTTCGATATATCCTGCCACACTTGGCTAGTCTCGAGGTTTGGGCATTATTTACCAAACACATGAATCTGGCAGCCCAGGTGATTGAGGCGTGAACGTTGCGACAGGTAGCAACAACTCCGGGCTCTCTTCGTGTAGAAGTCAGTGGCGTCGTGAACTGGGCAAACACGTGCCCTTTCATACCGCGCAGCCAGGAAATGGCACACAATCTGAGTCTCTATTTGTGCAGCACTCCTACGTGTGTGTGTGTGTGTGCGCGAGCATTTTACATCCGTGCATATTATTTGTACCGTGTATGCATATGTGCGTTAGTGTCTTGTGTGTACAATTGGTGTGTGTACGTGTGCACAGATTGTAACAACTACCAGGGCATCTTCCTCAGTGTGCTGGGAAAGGCCTTGGCAAAGGAATATTCCCCATCGCCTTGCCAGACTCGCTGAGGCCTTGGCGGTCTTACGCGGATGCCATATTTTTTGTCCGGCTACTACAGCAGATGGAATTTCAAAGGGACCTATATCTCTCACTTATTGACCTCGTCAAGGCCTATGCTGTAGACAAGGGATATGGGTTGTTCTTCATGCTTTTGGAGTCCCTGAGCCTATGCCCACGATCATTAATGACCTTCATGATGGTGGGTAGGCCCGGTTAAAAGTTGTGTGGCCGGGAGTCAGAGCCATTCTCTGTTCACATTAGGATGCGTCAGGGGTGTCCTCTGGCTCCCACATTATTTAACATCATCTTCAACCACGTAGTTTTCCATAGCTCTACCAGTGGGATTTCTATCTGGTACATATACAATGGAAGGCTGATCGATGCCCGGGTGTGGTCGGGGGATGGCTCCCTGCTGGTTCACCATGTTACATATGCTGATGATCTGGTGGTTGCTGCTCACTCTGATAAAGAGTTGGAAGTTCTGCTGCTGAACCTGGAGCGTGCCACTAAGAGGTGGAGCCTTATTATCAGCCCCAGCTCTAGTTTGGCAGCAGAGGTTTCACTCCGAATCAGTCGAGCATCATTATCTTTTCGTGAGCTGCGTAATCTTGTGTAGAAGATATCTTATCTGTCGCCACAGTCATGCTTTCTCTTCTCTTTGCTTGTGAAACGTGGACCCCTCGAATGGAACATCTACCCCAATTTGAAACTTTTAGGCTGGCCTTCCTACGATCCATCCTGGGTTTAACCAGGCTGGATTGTGTGAGCTCACAAATCCTTGAAATATCTGGACACATTTCCATGAGTGAGCTCCTCCTGCAGACAAGGCTGCGTTGGCTTGGTCATGAGGCCCGCATGCCCAGCCATCACGTGCTCAAGCAGCTTCTTTTAGGCCGAATAGAGATAGCTAAACATGGGCAGATCGGCTGGAGAAGAGGTGGACTGATGCTGTACAGGGGGATATGGAGCTGAGTGGACTTCCCAAAGACTGATACAAGCGGTGTCAAGATAGGCCTCTGTGCAGGAGGCTTGTGAAGGATGCTACTGGACAGTTGGAGGCAGAGGAGCGACGCAAACAACAATGAGCAGAGCGCCGGGCAGGTAAAATAGAGCAAGTTAGCACAGTGGGGGGCACAGGTGGTGCATCTGCCAGTGATCTCAGTCAGTCAACCCATGGCACCTTGGTCTTCCCCGTGACCTCCTTTCAGCGAGCCTTCGATACTTAACGTAGCCTCAAAGTGCACAT